AGGCTCACTCTAGTTTGGGCGGCCTAGACTCACTGTTAGGCCCAGGTTGTTTTCTTGAATTTGGAACAGTCCTGCCTCAGCCTCCAGTGTGCTGCCACCCCCCAGGTCTGTTTCCTGCCAGTCGCTTTCCTCTGAGTGGAGCCCCCCTGCCATCCACTGCTGACCCTTAGTGCCTGTGTGGCAGTGGCAGCTCCCGCATGCGTCTCTGGGCCTCAGACCCAAGGTTCTATGGCTGGCAGTGCTGCTGGCCGGGCTCCCAGGGGAGGTGGCAGGGAAACTCAGCTGTGCGTGAGGTGGGGGCCAGGTCTCTGTAGGGCCCACCCCTTCTCCCAGAGCCCTCATCGGCCCCTGCCTGCATGCAGCCTGGGGCCCAGAAGAGTTTCCCCGCTTACAGTGGACACAGGGCATCTTCCACACAGCTGGTGAGAGTAATGGGCACAGCTGTATGGAGATGCCTTAAAACACTAAAACTAGAAATGCCATTTGACCCAGCTATTTCCCTCCTGGGTATCTCCCTTTGAGAGTTAAAGACATCATGCTACAGTGATCCATGTTCAGCTGTGTCCACAGCAGCAGTAGCTATATCTGGAAGCAGCCTCTATGCTCATCAACAGATGAAAAAGGAAATGTATGCATATGCACAATGGAGTACTATGCTGTCATCAAACGGATAAATGAATCATTTGTAAGAAAATAGATAAATTTGGAGGTCATAATGTTAAGTGAAACAAATCAGACACAGAAGCTCAAATATTACACTGTCCTCTATTATATAAGAAGCCCAAATTATAAATTAAGAGAAAAATAAAAAATAGAAGCCATCTGTGGTGGCCGATGCCTGTAATCAAAGCATTCAAGAGGCTGAGGCAGAAGAATGGTTGCAAATTCATGGCCAGCTTGTGCTACAAAATGAGCTCAAGTCCAGCTTGAACTGCATAGTGAGACCCATCTCAAAAAATAAACAAGGAAATAAACAAAAAGCCATTCTCGAGTGGAAAGGAACTGAGAGATGGAGGGAGAAAGAGAGAACAGAGAGGGGATGAAAAAAGACCTGAGATGTGTTACATACATGAACCCAGCACTCCTGGAGACCGAGGCAGGAGGATCGCCATGAGTTTGAGGCCAGCCCAGGCTACACAGCAAGAGCCTGGCTCGGAAAACAAAAAGACAAAATAATTAAAACAGAAACCCTGTCCAACCCAGCTCCCCGGTCCAGTCACTGGTACAGCGGATCCCTTTCTCTCACCCCTTATTTTGCTGGTAACTTCAGTCCCCGTTCTACAGGCCCAGGTTTAGATGTGTCAGGTATCTCCTGTTTTGCTTTCTTGTGTTTGTTTTTTTGAAATGGTCTCACTCTGTGGTTCAGGCTGGCCTTGAACTCAAGGCAGTGCTCCTGCCTCAGCTTCCTGAGTGCTGGAAAGAGAGGCAGATGTCTTTTTTTAACCTCAATGTTAGAAGTCTGGTTGAGCAGCATTAAACATATTCACAGGGTCTGAGCAGCCCTCGTGCACTTTTCTCTTCCAAATTGAGACCTTATGCCCCCCAACAGTCCCTACCCGAAGTTGCTATGCTGTCTCAGGGACTGTGCCAGGAATGGCGGTGCATATCTTTAACCCTAGCACCCAGGGAAGCCAAGGCAGGAGGACTGCATGTCTAAGCCCAGCCTGGGCAATTTAGACCCTGTCTCAAAATTTACAATGGGCCGGGGGTGGTGGTCAGCGCAGCCTCTGACTGCAAAACCTCACCCCGCCCCCCGCCCTGCACCCACAGCTCATGGCTCTGTCTCTGTGCTGGCTCTGGTGGGCTCTGGGCGCTGCTCTCTGGTAAGGACCTTGTCCTGCCCCTCTGCACACGGCTACGGCTGGTCTCAGCCTTGATGCTCCTGCTGCCAGACCTCCACTCCCACCAGCTCTGGCCGGATCCTGGGGTGCTGCGGCCTCTACAGGGATTTGGGGCACCCACAGGTTCTGCTCCTGGCTGGGCCAGCATGCTTCTTACTTCTGCTGGGAGTGGGGAGCAGTGTTCAGAGACCTCAGGACAGAGAGGCCTCCAAGAACCACACCCGCCCGTCCCACACCACCCTTTCTAGGAGGTTTCTTTCCTTTCCTTTTCCTCCTTCCCCCTCTTCTGTCAGGGCTGCCCCAGGGGCATCGGCTCTGGTTAGGCTCAGAGTAGCAGTGGTTGGGGGCTGTGTCAGTGCATGCAGGGCTGAGGTGTCCTTGGCTGGGGTGGGAAGTCCTCTCCACCCCAGGCCTGTCCTACAGAGCGGAAACTCTCCAGTCCTCCCACAACCCTGCGAGCTATAGATGTCTCGTTGTGGCCCGTCCCAATGGGGTAGATCTGGCTGTCCCACTCCAGGACCCCTCTCTGGAAATGCCAGGTTGGGCTCCTGGGTTGAACCAGTCCTATAGGGCTGTCTTTATACCCCCTCAAACTCTGAACCCCTTGAAAGCAGAGACCTGCCTTCCTTGGAGGTGTGTGCTGTTTTGAAACAGTCTCACTGTTTGATTCACTGTGTAGCCCAGGCCTTGAACTTGTGATGATTTGCCTACCTCAGCCTCCCGAATACCTGGCCTCACCAAGTACTTGATGAATGAACCCCTCGCTTGGCTCCCATGTTGTTCTAGTGATTTCTGTGACTTCTTCATACGTGACAGTATCATTACTTTGCCCTTGGCGGAGAACACTTCCTCTAAGCTGTCTTTTTTCAGAGATGGGCAGGACCCTGGAGTTTCTGTGAACAGATCCATTGATTCTTCAGTGGGCCTCTTCTGTCTTGCTGCAGTCAGGGTTTGCCAGGGAATAGGTTTAATACAGAACACATAATTTCTAGGATTATTTTATAATATTTACCCAAAGAGTCAAATGCAGAAAAGTACAGGAGATCTCTTCATACACGACCCAAAGAATACAGCTGAGGGTCTGGATCCCATGGCAGTGTCCTGCACAAGTCCAGCCGAGGGATTTAGAGCCCACAGCAATATCTCATGCAAGTCCGTGCCAAGCATCTGCACTGGGAAGGCCCAAAGGTTGGGGGAGGCTAGAAAGTCTGAGTGAGTGGGATGAAGGATCTATGAGGGATCTGCACTGCAGCCAGGAAGCGATGCTCAAGGCAAGGACCAGAGCTCCCTGAAGAGACCACAGCCACCCTCAGCGACAGCCAGGACCTGAGCTCCTCCAATGATGAGAACAACTGAGCTCACAGCAGGAAGCCAGTGTGACAGCTCCTCCAGGGAACTGGCAGCACTGTCTTCCTCTCCAGCTCTGCTTTTTGTGCCATGGGCAGCAGAGTGCCCACACACCCAGCACACACTCACCCAGCTCCAGTGGTGTCACAAGGTGACCATTTGCTGACCCACCCCAGTCTTCCACACTTGAGCACCTTTCCTCCCCACACTGGCCACTCAGTGAGTAAATGTTGGCTGTGGTTTTCTGCTCTGTGCTGTCAGCAGCGAGCCGATCACCTGGCTCTCCAGCTAAAAATGTTTAACCGGCTCACAGGCCTGCAGAATAAAGTCCAAACTCTGCCTCACCCGCGTGGCCCCAGGGGTGAAGCTGCCTGTCCACTGGTCCTGAGCCTGCAGTCCCAGAGTCCACCCACTTCCAAACAGCTATAAAAATCTCCCTCATTCCTGAATATTGCTGCTCAAGAAGCGCCACCCCAGGGGTGACTAGTGGAGGGAGGAGACACAGAGTTTCAGAGTCCAGCTACTCCAGAGGCTAAAACAGGAGAGTGGCAAGTTAGCAAGACTGGATCGCAGAAAACAAGAAAGGGCCAAGGATGTAGTTTAGTGCAAAAAACCCTGGGTTCAATTTCCAGCACACAAAGCTAATCCTCAAATAGTCATCCCAGTTAAAACTGCGTAAACTGCGGCTCCAGTTAGTATCAGTGTAGTTGGGTCTACATACTCAGGGGCCCCGGCAGCCCTGGCAGCAGGCTGGGGCTGGAGAACCCTGAACCCCATGGAGATGGGGACAGCCCTGCGCTGGGCCCCATGCTGTCCAATCGGGGTGGGCTAGGCCGGCTCATCTGGAGACTCAGGAGTGAATCCCTAGGGCCAGAGTGGGGGTGGGCACCATGTATGGTGAGCAGCATCAACCTCAGTCCAGAGGTCTGGCCTGGCCGAGGAGGCACTGAGCCGGGGACCTGGCCCTCCTCTGGGGGTGGCAGAGGAAAGGCCTCCTGCTGTACCCCACCCAGCTGCCTGGACAGCAGCCCCTGGCCGGACCTCACCAGCTGGCCTGGGCTGGCCCCACCCTGGCTCTTGACCTCCCCCAATGCTGAACTGGTCCTGGTCCCATCGGTCCCATCGAAGTTGGGCAGCCTCAGCCTCCTCTCTTCTCCCTCAGACCTGGAACCAACTCGGTGTCCAGGCAGAGGCCAGGCTGCTTGTGGCCCTGCCTGCCTGGAAGGGGAAGCAGGTGGTCCCTCCCAGAGCCCTGGGGTGGCATTGCCATGGAAACCCAGGGTCCTTACCACCCAACCCTGGAGGTCTAGTCTGCCCAGCCAGGTGTGCAGGCCACTGTGGCCTGGGAGCCTCCCCTTGTGACCACAGGAATGGTGTCGGGGATGGAAGCCCTGGAGGACTCTGACCCCGTGTTACCCCCCACCCCCGCTCTGTGGCTCCAGAGCTGCCCAGTCTGATGTGCAGGACAGCACCAGCTCAGGATACCCAGCTCCTGTCCAAGCTGGGTTAGGGTCCAGATGGTGGCGTGGTCCCTGCAGGGTCCCAACTCAGTTTCCCCATTGAGGGCAGGTGAAGGCTTGGCAGGGAAGATGCCTGGGCTTCCTTGCTCCCCACCTTGCAGGGTGAGGGGCAATGTCCCCCACCCTCCCCACTGCGCTCCATGCTTGCATCCTGTCCCGGGTAATGGTTTCCAGGTGAGGGGAGGCCAGGCGGGGGTGGGGGGACATGGAGGAGCAAAACAGGAAGGGGTGGGGTGGCTGCCTGGCGGGGAGGCCACATCTGCTTTGCATTAGGCTTGGCAGCGCCTCTGGATGGGAAAGGAGCTGCAGGGAGTGGGAGGGCTCGCAGTCCACACCCACATTGGTGACGGGCACAGGCAGGGGTGGGGATCTCACAGCTGGCTCTGCACGGAGCCCCAGTTAGCCATGCAACCCCCGAAGTCACTCAACCAGGCAGGGAGATCAGGCCCATCCCTGCATTCCCCAAAGCCGGGACAAAGACCAGGCACCCACAGCTCAGACCTGCGTGGGAAGCCAGGAGAGATGCTGGGGAGAGGCGGGAGCCAGAGCATCAGAGGCTGCAGGCAGGGGGCCTGTGGGTGGCACAGGGAGTGTCTAGGGCACTCTGCCTAGGGCACTTGCCTGGCATGCCCTAAACACAGGTAAACTGAGGCACAGAGGAGCCGAGGTACTGAGAGGCTCCAGCCCTGGACGTGGGGCGGGCACCACCCCATGCCAGCTTGTCCCTGAGAAGCAGGGGCTGAGTTTCCAGGGAGGCTGAGGCCTGGTTGGTGACAGAGGCCACATCCCAGGCATCCTGAGCTGGTCAGCTCGTGGGTGGTGCTGCCCGGCAGGCAGCTCACCTGAGCCTGCAGGGGCTGCTCCCTGCCCCAACCCTCCAGCCTGGGAGTTAATAATTAGGGCCCAGCAGGCTGGAGGAGATAGGGGCCCCCAGGCACCGCCCTGGGCCACTCCTGTGAGGACAGATAGCAAAGGTTGCCAAGGCGCCAGGCGCCCCTACTGCCCAACATGGCCACCTCCGAGGAGCCCCCTGGGTGCCCTGCACGCGGCTCCTGCCCTGTGTTCCTGGCCCTGAGCTCGGGCAGTGTCCGCTATGCCCCCGCCCGCCTGTGCCCCGTGCTGGAAGGGAACTCGAGAGAGGAGTCCTGGGGCGCTGAGAGGTGAGCATCGGAGGGTGGGGAGCAGTGGGGATCTGACTGTTAGGATGGCTTGGGGAGGGCACAGACATCCCTGTGGGCCCAGCCAAGGACAGATGCAGTCCAGAGGGGTCCAAGGTAAGGGCCGCCCAGCGGGGACTGTGGTGTTCAAGGTGTCCCCTGGCTCTAGGCTTTTGGGACCATGCTGAGCCTGACTGTGAGGTCAGTGGAGTGTTTCTCATTTCTGGGCTGGCCCCGGGAGTGAGCCGGAGGGCCATAGCTCTGCAGCAGGGGTGGTGCTGCCTGGATGCACAGAGAGCAATATGGTTTCCATTCATTGCTGGTGCCCATGTCCCCAGAGGTGATGCACTTAGACTCTGGGGTCTCTCCAGGCTGCCCATGAAAGTGTTAGTGGACAAACATGGGGATGTCCGTTTGTTTTGGGCCTGGCCTCGGCTGAGTAGAGCTGGGCTTGGCAGAGGGACACAGCCCTGAGGAGGGGCCACAGTCCTGGAAATGATTGCCTGTCAGGTACAAGGACCAGGAGGCCTGGCCCTGATGGCTGCACAGAGAGCAGGGACACCCTGGGACTGTGAGCTACAGAAGCCATGAGCTGGAGGGCAGGGAGCAGATGGCATCAGCCTGGGAACTGTGAGTGCTGCTCCCCAGGCAGGTCCCTGTCCTTCGTGATCAGTTATACTAGTGTCTGTCTGGCTGTGAGAGCCTAGGAGACCACAACCCTCGCAGGAGTCCAGGAAGGAGAGCCCACCTGCCCAAGATGCACACGTGTGCATGTGTGTATACGTGTGTGTGTGTGTGTGTGTGTGTGTGTGTGTGTGTGTATGTCTCTCTGTGTGTGGACCACTTCCCTGGGGCCTGGCTAGGGCTGGGGGCGCGGCAGATAGAGGCTCTGGAAGAATGGGCAGTGGTGGACCTGTCACTTGCTGGTGGGGTTGCAGTCTGGAGGACTCACCCCTCCTGCTGCTGGCCCCCTGGGGGAGGCTGAGGGCCAGGACAGGTGGGTCAGAGGGACAAGGGTTCCTGTCAGGATGCAGCTGAGTGCCCAGGTCTCCCTCTGGGACACTCCCTTTCCTCATTCAGGGCCTCCTGTCTGGCCATTGAGGGCTCGTCAGGGCCAGGGAGGGAGGGGTTTGGGGGCTCCCAGTGAGAGTGTAGGCAGAGGCGGGGGCAGGGCAGGGCAGACAGGGCAGGACCACCCCCCTGGGTGCAGCTGGAGGGACACCTTCCCTGGCGACCCTGGTGCAAAGAGTTGAGGAAGCCTGATCTGGGGGTCTCTAGGTTGAGTTCCTCAGGGCAGGCCATGTTGAGGTGGGGGCAGCTGGGAGGCTGAGGGCTACAAGGCAAAAGGCAGCTGTGCCCCTCTGGGCTGCCCGGGGCTCTGCCGGCTGTGCAGCGGGGTGGCTCCGCAGAAGTCCATGCCGTTTCCATTGCTCACTCGCGTCCCGTGTACCGCGTGTGGGGTGGGTGGGCTGAGGCACGTGACTGCGGGGCCGGGCCGGCACGTGTCCCCAGGCTGCCCTCAGCCACGTGATGCGGGGCGGGGCTGCTGGGACCGCGGGACAGCAGTGGCGCGGGACACAGCAGCGGACGCCGGGCCAGGGCCAAGATGTGGAGCGGGTAGGAGCGCGGAGGTGGGGACAGCGCCACACCGGCCGCCGGCGCAGGCCGATTGGGATCCGCCAGCCCCTACCCTGTGTGGCGGGCAGCAGGCCATCCTGCTGGGGCAGATGGGTCTCGTCTGCCTGGGATGGTGGGTTTAGTCTTGCCCGGGTTAAAGGGGCTTGGGCTGGCCTGGGACCAGGCACTTGACCCCCGCTGAGGTAAACAAGTTTGGGAGCAGCCTGTGAGCAGGAAGCTGGGACCTGTGTGTTGGGAGGCCAAGGCAATGTGCCCCATGCCCTGCTCTGGGTCCGCGGATGAATAAGCTGTGGGGTAGATGTGACCCCTGCCTGGAGAGTGTCAGTGCTTCGGGGCAGCAGCCTGGGCCCAGGGGCCCCATGTAGGGTAAGGCCCATCTGTGTTGTCCTGTGCCCTCTTGGGTGAGCAGGGGGCAGAGTGACCCCACCCTACAGCCAGGGCTCCACAAATGCAGAGTGTGGGGGGCAGCAGAGGCGCTGAGCATCCAAGGGGGTGTAGAATTTGGGGTCAGCTGGGGTGCTTTAGGGGCCCCCATGTAGACTTGGAGGCAAGGACTTGGGCCCGTATCATCTGCACCCACAGGGGTCAGCTGCATCCCAGCAGCAGCCAAGTGGGACCCTGCTTGCCAGGGTCACCCCATAGCTCATGACAGCCCAGTAAGACGTCCTGAGGCCAGTAGCCCTAGAGCAGAAGGAGAGTAAGGCTGGCTGAGCTGGGGTCTTTTGGGCTGGCCAAGGGCCAGTCCTGGTCCTGGCCCCCCAGGTCTGCAGCAGTGGCTGAGGGACTGTCCTCCTCAGACTTTGAACCCTGGCCCAGAAGCAGGTGCACTCTGACTGCAGGGCTCTATACCCCACATGCTGGGCCGCTGCTGCCCCAGACCCCATGGCTTCCAGGCTGTCTTCCTCCTGCTAGGCTGAGGCCAGAGTCTTGGTTCCAGGCTCTGGCCCATGACCACAGAGCTTAGGGCCATCCAAGGCCACAGTGTCCACGCTGCCACCTGGGAGGGTCCTGAGGGTTCCTGGCTGTGAGGCTGTGTGGAGGGACACCAGGCAGGAGCCCCCTCAGGAAAGAGTTTGATCGCCTCCCAGGTGCCCTGCCCCAGCAGGTGCAGAATCCTGCTGCACCCTGGTGAGGGCATCCATTGTTGCCACTGTGCTCAGGGCACTTGGGGACTTAGAGACACCCGAGTTTGAGGGCGCCTCTTGGGCCTGCTTGGGCCATGTGTCCTGGCCTGGCTGCTGGGAGCCTGGGACAGAAGTACCTGATTTTACACTGGGGCCAGGCTACCTGCTTCTTCTTGGGCACCTCACCAGGACGTACTGGCCTTTCTGGGGTGCCCCAGCCTCTGTCTCTCACCTGCCCCTCTGCCCTGCTCCTTGCACCCCAGGTCCCCTGGCCCCCTGGCCCACGCCATGGCTGCAGCTGTTCTCTGAGCCAATGCACCCAGCTGCACTCAGCTTCTCCCTTGCCCACTCCCCAGCCACAGGCCGGAGCTCTCACTTCCTCAGTGGCCGGCACAGGCACATCCTGCCGCTTCCCGCACTGCCATCCGCACCCTGCCAGGCAGTAGTCACGTGTCTCCTGGGCCTGCACCCCAGGTCCGATTCCCAATTGGCTGTTGCTGTGTGTTCTGGCCCCACTGCTACCCTCTCTGAACCCCAGCACTGCCTCATTAATTCACGGCTGGGCTTGCATCTCCTTTGTTGGTGACACTATGATGTCTGGACCCAGAGCCAGGACCCTGGCCCGGCTCTCTTGGGCTGGCACATCATCGGCCTGAGACCAGGACACATGGCTGCCCGTCTATTCCTATTCTGGCCTTCCTGGCCCCTCTATGGGTCAGACCTGGGGCCTGGACGCCTGGGTGGGGACACATGGGCTGGTGTGACCCCAGTCCCAGCCCTGAACCTCCAGGGACTCTGGAGCATTTCTGGAGTGAGCCAGTGTGTCCTCAAGGTGGGGAGTGCTGGCCGCTCCCCATCCCAGCCTTGATCCTTATCCCTCAGCCCTGAGAAGAAGCACCCCAGATGTTCGGCTGTTCTATGGGGTGTGAGGTGGAGGAGGGATGGGGACAAAACTCTAGCAATAGTCCTGGGGCATGGACCTACTGGACCTGGCCATGACATCTTCCCCTCCGGGTTCTGAGTCCCAAGCAGGACCTTCAGGGGCTGCAGTCCCACTCCATACCCCCTCCACTGCCCCATCGCCTGGGAGTCAGTAACCGTGGAGTGGTCCCGCTGCCCCTGCCTGTGGTCCTGAGGGGCTTTTCCATCCAGGAGAGAGGCAGTGACACCGCAACCCTGGAGTTCTGTGACTCTGGTTGCTGAGTAGGGTCCCTGCCTCTCTCTAGCAGGGGCATAATGAGGGCTGCTGGGAAATGGTGGGGACTGTCCTGCTACCTCTGACCTGAACCCTTAGATGCCTTCATTGTGTCTGGAGGTGTTGCACGCAGCCTGGTTGTGTGGGAAGACAGGTGGCTGTGGCCTTCAGGTGGGTGGTAGCCTCACTGGGATCTGCCCATGGCCCATGGCCGTCCAGGCCCTTTCCATCTGCCAAAGGCCAAAGGACCTGTGCTGGGCTTGGCCACAGGGAGGAGGTTGGGGAATGACACCTAGGGCGCCCCCTGCAGGTTGTCAACCTTATCCTGAGTGGAGCGGGTCCAGAGGACTTGGGGACCCCAGGGACAGGTGCCCGCTCCCCTAGAAGTCACACGGAGGCTTCGTGCCAGTGTGGGCTGTGTTGTCTGATCTGCTGTGGGCCTGCCCAGGAGAGAAGGCTGCCCCCTCAGCAGGCTCTGATCATCCAGGTGACCAGAGCAAGTGCCGTTGCTCGATGAGCAAATGAACACTCCCTACGCCCTGGGAGGCTGAGGCAGGAGGATCAAAAGTTTTGAGTCTAGCCTGGGCAACTTAGCTGCTTGGAGAGACCCTGACCCAAGACAAAAAGGGCTGCGTGTTGCTCCAGGGAAGCCCAGGTTCCATGCCTAGTATCTGGAATGATGACAGAGTTTGGTCATCTGAGGGTGAGGGTGCCGAGTACAGATTTCTGCCCACCAGGCCACTGTGGTGCATGTGGCAGGGAAGGTCTGCCTGATGCACACTGTGGAGGTGCGACCTTCGAGGTGTCCTGAGGACGAGGGGATGGACACTGTCCTGCCCCTCCCCCAGCGCTCACTTCCTGTCTGCCGCAGCCCCGATGCTCCCAGTGGCTGCTGAGCCAGCGGATCTGGAGGTGCTGTCTTGGCATGGGGCCGCGGGTGGCTAGGCCTGCTAGAGTCCTCAGTGCAGGGGGCGTTCTAGGGTGTGGGGGGAGGGAGGGGGCCAGTGCTGCTCTGCACCAGGCCCCTGGAAGTGGTCTCCTCCTCTGGGCTGTTTGCAGGCTCTGCCTGCCTGGCGGCTTCCTCCCTGGCCCGTCCTGAAGGACAGGGCTTCCATGAGCCGGGCTGCACAGCTCCACGGAAGGCAGCTCCCACTCGGTTCTCCCAAGCACCCCCAGCCCAGCGGGCAGCAGGGCCTTCTATGATGGAAAAAACAGGTTCCTCCTCTTCCTCCTCCTTTTTCTCCTCCTTTTTCTTTTTTGGCTTTCTGACAGTCTTACTGTGCAGCTGGCTTTGAACTCACTGTGTAGCCTAGGCTGGGCTCTCAAACTCGCAGTGATCCTCCTGCCTCAGCCTCCCCAGAGCTGGAGTGACAGCCCTGTGGCAATTCCAGAGTGCCTCTGTCAGCACAGTATGTGCTGACCCTGCTGACCTCCAAACCTTGCCCAAGGCCCAGGGCTACTAGGAAGAGAGTTCATGCTCTGTCCCCAGGAGCATGTGGTCACTGCTGGCAGTGGCCCATGTTACAGAGGCAGAGGCAAGGGCTGGTGGCAGCTGTGTGCCTCAGAGCCATCCCTAGCCCCTGCCACCTTGGGACCCCACCTGGGTCCGCCAATATGCCTGTTTGCCTTACAGTCTGCCGCAGACGGACAAGGGCTTCCCGCCACCCCTTGTGGCTGTCCCAGGGTCCTGGAAGGACGTGGGCCCCTGCCAAGGCCACAGGGAGGCCTCAGGACCCCTGGCTCAGGCTGCTGTGGAAGGGGAGACTCTGGGCGAAGAGGCCCCAGCTACCACCGAGCTGGATGTTTCGCGCCTGCGCAGCTCCTCCATGGAGATCCGCGAGAAGGGCTCGGAGTTCCTGCGGGAGGAACTACGGAGAGCCCAGAAGGTGAGGCCCAAGTAGCAGAAGGCTGGGGCGGCCACCTGGGATTCCGAATGCCCAAGGACAGTGGTGCTGGGGCTACAGCAGGGACCTGCTGCTGGCTGTACCCCAGCCTGGGGGACCTAGCCAAACCCTGCCCACTTCAGGTGGCCCACCCATGCCACAGGGCAGTGCACAGTGCCTCTCTGGGGCCTCGAGAAGGGCAGAGGCCCCTGGGGAGCTGGGTGCGGACCCAGGCTGACCCCCACCCACTTGTAGGAGCTTCAGCTGAAGGACGCAGAGTGTGCACGGCTGTGTCGCATCCGGGAGCAGCTGGAGCGCGAGCTGGAGGAGCTGACGGCCAGCCTATTCGAGGTGCGTGAGGGTCACGGCCAGGTGCTGGGGGCGGGGATCCCCAGGCCCTGGGCAGCTCTGAAGACCCTGCCCTCTCCTAGGAGGCCCACAAGATGGTGCGGGAGGCCAATACCAAGCAGGCAGCATCAGAGAAGCAGCTAAAGGAGGCTCGGGGCAAGGTGAGGCTCCGGGGTCTGGACGGGGTGGTGGGGATGGGGTGGGGTAGCCCGGCAGGCAGGTGGGTGACGTGGAGCTGTGAGGTCCTTGCCCACTACCACCGACCCTGCAACTGTCCATCGACTCCTGTCAGGACACCAGGCCATGGCTTCTCCTCCCAGCCTGTTCCCTGGGACCTGAACGCTCAGCGGGTCCCATGCAGTGTGGCACCTACAGCCTGCCTGCCCCATGGGCTCAGGCTTCCCAGCTTTGAGTGAGCATCATGGTCCCTGCCTTGGGTGCCATCCTGAGCTGTCCCAGCCCCCCCACCTCCCACAGATTGACATGCTGCAGGCAGAGGTCACCGCCCTGAAGACCCTGGTCATCACATCCACCCCAGCCTCCCCCAACCGCGAGCTCCACCCACAGCTGCTGAGCCCCACCAAAGCTGGGCCCCGCAAGATGCATGCGCGGCACAAGAGCACCAGCAGCGCCCCGTGCCCTGCCCTATGCCCTGCTGCTGGGCAGGGCCTGGCACAGGACAAGGAGGGCAGGGAGGTGAGGTGCAGGTGTTGGGGATGTGGGGTGCAGGGTCAATGAGCCTGGAGTCGTCCACCTGCTTTGTGGAGACACATAGTATGCCTTCACTCAGGGGACTCAGACAGTGGCTGTGTTGGGTCCCCTGCCGTGGCCACAGGCAGCTATGCGGTCCCAGGGTGAGGGTCCTTCGGGAATGCTCCCTTGGGCTGGGCTGGCGGCAGGACCTGCCCACGTTCCCATGATAAATGGTGTCTGGGCCCCCAGAAGGAACAGGGTGGGAGGACAACAGAGGAGTCAGAGCTGTAGCCCATTTGTCCCATCTCTGCCTCTGTTCTTGGCGACCCCACCTAGACACTGATGTCTCCTCCTGCCTTCTATCTGTCTCTGTGCATTCTCTGTCTGTTTGTCCATCTCTCTGTCCATCTGTCCGTCTGCCCTCTGGCCCAGCCCGGCCTCGCCCCCCTCCTCTCCCTGCTCCTCTGCGTGCTCCCCAGCAAGGCCGCCCACCTCACCTACGAGCCGGCCTGGCCTCCCCAGCCGGGGGTGCCTGCGCCTGCTGCCGCCTCCTGTCTCTCCTTTGCACGGCAGGTAACAAACGGCTCAGAGGGGCCGCTCCGCATGCCCTGCATGTGGGGGACAAGCCTGAGTCCCTGTGTGTCCCCAACCCAAGGTCGGGGTCCCTTTAGCACCCAAGAACTGACAGCAGGCAACAGGTGCTCTTGGCTTCGCCCTGGATGCCGCAGCCTGCCTACTGCCAGGCACACCCGTGCCCCTTATGTCCCTGACTTTACTCCTGCCCCACTGCCCCCAGGTGGACATGACACTGTTTGCAGAGTTCCAGGCCTGGAGGGCAGCGCCCACACTGGACAAGGCCTGCCCCTTCCTGGACAGAGTCTACCGTGAGGACGTGGGCCCCTGCCTGGACTTTACCATGCACGAGGTAAGGAAGTGGCAGGTGGGCAGCCAAGGTCCAGCACAGCTGCCCCCTGCTACCCCCTCACTGGCCCTTCTGTCCCCAAAGCTCTCTGCACTGGTGCGGGGCGCCGTGGAGGACAACACACTCACCATTGAGCCCGTGGCATCGCACATGCAGCCCAACACCAGGGCTGCAGCTGTGGAAGGCAGTCACACCAGGTAAGCACAATGCCCAGCCCTTCCAGTCTGGGGCTGGTCGAGGACAGGGACAGTTGCTGACCCCACAGGATGAGGCGGGGCAGCCTCGGCTCTGGAACCTGTGTAGAAGGGGCTGTAGGCGGAGCCTCACCTTGTGGGCTAGGGTTCCTGTTGTCACAGCCAAGTAGGGACAGCAGATGCCCTGTGAGTCCTGCAGCCAAGGAGCCTGTCTTTCGCTGGGTTGGCAATATGGCTGTTTCCTAGGCAATAGGGAGGCCCCTGGCAAAGGATGGCTGCAGCTTGGAGAGGAAGGGGAGGGCGGGGCCTGCAAAATATGGGGCACCCAGGCTCTAGCTCCCTGGGGGCCTGGGAGCCTGGAGACTGAGTGGTGCTAGGCTGGGAGGGCCGGGGGCTATGGGCCTGAGCAGGGACAGACAGTAGCCATTCAGGGCCCACTGGTTCAGGGTCACTCAGGCCTGGGCTCAGGAAGGGCTCACAGGTAGCAACAAAGCAGCACTGTGTGGGGGCCACAGTGATGGCTACAATGCCCACTGGCAGCCGAGGCATCTCCAGAGGCACCGCCTTGGTTTCCAGGCAGCATGAGGTGGATGAGGCGCTCCTGCAAGGGAGGGGCAGTCTGTGCACCCCAGGTCCCCACAGCTGGGGGCGGGCTTTGGGTCTGAACGCGCCCTCTTCCCTCAGCACCTGTGCCCTGAGTGGGCTGACCAGCCCTTGCCGCCACCGCATCCGGCTTGGGGACTCTGAGAGCCACTACTATATCTCGGCGTCCTCACGGGCCAGGGTGAGTTACCTGGTGCCTCAGGACCACCTGGGAGACCCAGGGACACAGTCTGGGCCACAGATCTGCAGGTGCCCGGGCTCAGGGGCTGAGGTGGGCACAGGTATCAGCTGCAGCTGTGGGACAGGTCTGCTCTCAGGTGGCCTTGGCCCCGCACACTTCAGGTGTTACCTTCACTGCCCTTCTGGGTCAGCGCTGCTCCTTCTGAGCTCGTCCTGCTGCTGGTGGGGTCCAGCTCAAGTTAGAAGCGGAAGTCCTGTGTCTGGGATGCCCCGGCCTCCACATGCTGCCCTGCCCCTAGTGATTTTGCATAGCGCTGATGGGATCATAGCCCTTGGGGGACCCCGTGCGCTCCTTCCTGCTAGGGGCTCCTCTGTGCCTATGACCCTGTCCCATCCCTCTGTATGTGGTCCAGGGGAGTGGCTGTAACTCCCAAGTCCAGTCTTCTGATGCCCAGGAGTGGGATCTGGCGGTCACATACCCACCCCTCCACTACCCCCTACACCCCACAGATCACCGCGGTATGCAACTTCTTCACCTACATTCGCTACATCCAGCAAGGCCTGGTGCGGCAGGATGGTGAGCGCCCCCTGGTGGCCAGTATGGGTGGCACTGGAGTGCTGAGGTAGAGGCCTGGCATGATGGGGCAGGGTGGGATCTTTAGCCATCGTTTCGGGGGTGTGGCTTGAGGTCACTCCTCTGCCAGCTGGGAGCATGCCTGACGCCCTTCCCAGAGCTAGCAGAGGACCAGGCCATCCGGGGCGACCCTGAGCTGTCCCTGTCCCCGCCTGCAGTGGAGCCGATGTTCTGGGAGGTCATGAGGCTGAGGAAGGAGATGTCGCTGGCCAAGCTGGGCTTCTTCCTCCAGGAGGCCTAGGCACAGCCTTAGGATGCAGACAGCCAGCCTCGAGCCAGAGCCGCAAGGACACATGGGCAGGAAGGAGATGGGCCTTCCACACCCTGCTGGGCCGGCCCCAAGGGAGAATTCAAGGCAGCACCCAAGACCCAGGCCCTTGGAGCCCTGGAGGAGCCTGGGTGCCTCATGCCCTCAGGGAAGGATAGTTCAGAGGCAGGACCTCCAGGGCTCTCAGCTCCGCCCAGAACCCTGCCCACCTCAGCACCTCCCCACTGCAGCCCCGGGTACTGGGGCAGCCTCTTCCCGAAGGGACGCCAAGGGGATTTGGGTGCCACCTGCACCTCCTCAAAGTCGGCAGCAACTGGTCCCACGCTGGCCACCCTGCCACACCGTGCTCCTCCTGGGCTGGAATGCGCCCAGCCCTGTCTAATAAAGGCGGCTTTGTTGGTGGGGTCTGGCCGCCTGTCACTGCTGCGCCCTGGGCTCCCGCCAGGCCTCGGGCATCTGCGGGAAGGAAACCAAATCCTCCCTGTCTACCTCGTGTTTAGGATTAGCCCAAATCCTGAAACCACCGCCACACGTAGGCGCTACGTGGGTCTTCGGGTGCCCCTCAAGGCTGGTGCACAGGGGCAGCTGTGGTTGTGAAGGGGGCATTGTGGCCCCTTGCTGGGACGCGCAGTCGGCTGCATTTGTGAGGCTGCTGGGTCAGGCAGGACAAGGTGGTGGCTCACACATTGTCAGCCTGCAGGTGTGGCTGTGGAAGCCAGGCTTGTTGGGGACTCAGCATGGGCAGGGGTAGGTGGGGGCGGGTGGCTAGGTCTGAAAGGTGGTAGGTTCTTGTACAGGGTGGAGTCTGCTTGGGTTGACCTCGGGCCTCCTCCCCAACTCCCCATCTTTCTACCCTGAGGTCACTGCTGGCCAGGCCTTCTGTCACCATGTCCCCTGGGGCTACCTCCATCCAGAGCTGGCCCTAAGTGCACCAGGACCTTATCCGGGTCCCACAAAGAACCAGGCAATGAGGCACAGAGGCAGGAGAGCTGGCCCTGACCCCCCCCCCCTGAGGAAGAGGCCACATGCCCTCCTGACTCCTCATCCCTCACGACCTGCCCAGACAGTCTCTCCACTTTCGTCTAACTTGCTTTCTTTTTGTTAGTTCTTTTGTTTTCGTTTTAAGACAGAGTCTTGCTGTTTACCCCAGGCCAGCCTCAATTTTGTAGTAATCCTCCTGCCTCTGCCTCTCCAAGTTCTGGGATGACAGGTGGGAGCCACCATGCCTGGCCTAATTTTCTCATCCAGGAGTTCAAAGATTGAGTTACACAGTCTTTGAAATTTTATTTTATTTTTTATGATCTAATAAACTTTTATTTTTTAAAAGATGACATTTTCCCCATTGGAATTTAAAAAAACTAAACTTCCAATTTTAATTGTTAAAAATTGCCACCTTAATTATTTTCTTGAGATGAGGTCGTGACCCCCTGCCCATGTAAGCAGGCCCTTAAGGGTGCGCACCTCAGCCAGCCTTGGCCACCTTCGTGTGCCGCTGTGCTCCCTGGGAACCCTTCACCTCAACACTGAGCTTGGCTCCTGTGAATCAGGCCCCCTCCCTTGGTCCCCAGTGACCCTGCCCTGCCCTCTGCTTCTGTGGGTCAGGACTTGCTTCATAGTACTCTGCACTCATGTTGTGGGTGGTATGGATGGGCCCCACCTCCTGGCTCTCAGTTGCCCTGTGTGTGGTGGTGTCCCTTTGAGACCCTGCTGTGATTTTTGGGTCAGTACTCGGAAATGAGATGGCTGGATACATGGTTTTGTTTTATTTTGGGGGGCAAGGTCTTGCTGTAGTCCAGGCTGGCCTTCATCTCACAGTCCTACTGCCTCATCCTCTCTAGTTGGGATCACAAGATACCATCAGGCCTGAGTGATTCTCGAGGCCGTCTGTGAGTCTCTGGAGGCCATGCTGGCTTCCTCCTGATGTCTATGCCCCTGCCAGCACCCACTGCTTGGTGCTATTTCTAGCAGTGCAATCCTGACCAGGGCTTGCTCTGTGGCCTGGGCGGTTACTGGTGACGTCTTACTCGGTGTCTGAGGAAACTGCTTTCCCACAGCACCCTGCCCCCCCAGGAGAGCCCAGGACACTAGCCAGGCCTGCGATTGAGGGCTGAACCCCACTCAGCTGCCGCCTACCCAGAATGTCTGCTTGTGGATAGAGGCCTGGGCTGGCCCCTTCCCACCTCTCCCCTCTCCATCAGGTTCCCTTGGAGCTCACTATGGAGCTACGCCCAGCTGCTTTTCTTCTTTTGACAGAAGCTCTCCCTAAGTTGCCCAGGCTGGCCTCAAACTTGCCTTCCTCCTGCCTCAGTCTCCCAAGTACTGGGATTGCAGATGTGCACCACTGTACTGGCAGGGTCTGAGCCCTGTGGCTGCTGTCTCCAGTGGGCTCAGGATTCTGTCCTTCCTAACTTGTCCCCGGGGCTGCTGGTGGGTTGTCCAGTATGGCCACTCACTGCTGACAACATGCCAACACCTCTCAGCCCCCAGGGCATCTGCAGGGACAGTGAAGCTCTGTGTCCCACAGGAGGAGAATGGTGGGGACAGGGCAGGGGCTCCCAGCCCTCAGTGCCCCCCATGCCCCACAGCTGGCCCCTGTCCCTTGTGCTTGACAGCTTGGTGATAACTCAGAATGTCAAGGGTGTCCTTCTGGAGCCTGGTCCCCCTGACACCTCCTGGGAACCATGGGGTGTCCAAGTCCTCAGCTGCCAACCCCTGAAGACCTAAGGCTCCCTGTGGCAGCTGCTGTGTGTGGGAAGCTGTGGGAGTGTCCCACTGCCATCATCCTCCTGGGCGTGGGAGAGGGTGGCCTGGTGCGGCCTTGGCCTCGGCTTATCTCCAGTGGAATCTGTCCAGGCCTCCGTCTGTGTGTCCAGGATTCATCAGCTGCCACTGAGATGTGTTGGGAAGACATTCCAGAAAATTCCAAACAGCAACAGGCATCTCCTCCTGCTTGGTACCGGCCTGGACTCAGGAGGATGTGGTGACCCGGGCTGCCTGGCTGCTGCCATCTGTGAGCCACCACACGAGCCTGCAGCTCCTGCCCGGCTCGTCCTCCCCCTGCTCCTCTGAGGCGTGGTCTGCCAGCCCCGCTGCATCCAGCCAAAACACATGAACTTCAGGGACACTACCCTCTGAGCTACTGCACAGCACCAGTGGCCTTAGCCTTTGGGTTACCTGTGGGAACACTCAGCAGATTCCACTCAGGCACCTTTACCACGGAGGGCTTGGTGTCCCCAGGCCTGGGTCAGCGGGTGGGTGACAGTGCTGTCCGGCATAGTACTACACCAAAACCAAGTGCTGGCAAAGAAGTACTGTGCTTGGGTGCTAGACACGCACCCTCAGGCCGCCTGCGGGGTTACTCAAATGACTGCCCCATACCGCCAGCCTGACCCTTGGTCCTCTGGGGCTGGACTCACGGGTGCTGAGGTGACCACACTGGCCAATCCACCCTGCCCTCGGTGCAGTGGAGCCCTAACTTGTAGAAGTGGTGTCCAGGGGGTCCAGGCAGTGGCTTCACACAGGCTTGCAAGAGAGGGGCCCTGAGGGCTCCCCAGACTCCGCCCTCTATCAAACAGAGCAGTTCTGCGCTCCTGGGCTCCAAGTACTCCCTACCCCTTCCCAAAGCCCCCCATCTCCATCCCCAGAGGACCGGGCCTTGGGGGCTACTGAGGGCCACACAGTCACCCCAGACGGTTTTGTGTCGTGTGTGTCCACCCCGCGCTCCCACCCCTCACCCCCAGGCACCCAGCAAGAAACCCGAGGCTCTGGCCTGCACCAGGGACCTCACCCGACCTGATTTGTGGCCCTGGGGGCGGCGCAGTGTTGTCGCCACCCCTCCCCTGCGGCCGCGAGCTGGGGGCTGGGGCTGGGGGCTGCGGGAGGGGCACGCAGCGGCCAATGGGGCGCGGCGGGCGCGGCAGAAGGCGGGAGCCGGCTGGGAGGCGCGTTCACGCGGGCAGCAGCTCAAGAGCACCGGCAGCCCCGGCGACCTGAGCGGGGACCTGGCTGCCTGGCTGGAGCCGAGCGCGCGGCCATGGGTGGCGTCGGGGGGCCCACCCGGGCCCGGGGGGCACTGCTGCCCACCTTCCGCTGGGAGCAGATCCGCGCGCACAGCCTGCCCGGCGACAAGTGGCTGGTCATCGAGCGCCGCGTCTACGACATCAGCCAGTGGGCAGAGCGGCACCCAGGCGGCAGCCGCCTCATCGGCCACCACGGGGCGGAGGATGCCACGGTGAGGACTCTGCACCCCGCCTGGGCGCTGGTGGTGGTGTGGGCGGGGTGAGCCCGGGGTCCCTGGCGCAGCCACACAGGGCAGGTGAGCTCTCTCCCCCTACAGCCTGGCCCCTGCCTGCATCCCGGGTCCCAACCAGGCAGGGCTACCGGGTTTGTTGGGGCCCAGGGCAGAAACGGATGGGCTGCTCAGCCTGAGGGACGCCGCACCCTCCAGCGGGGGCTGGGCAGCTAGGGATGTCTGTGACTCACCTCTGCTGCCCAAAGGCCTGTGCCAGTAGTGAGTGGGCCCTTGGAGGCACTGTCACCCAGGGGCAAGCTGGCCGGTAGAGGCGGGGGAGGGGGTCCAGTAGCTCTGGCAGACCTGGCGGGTGGGCCGGAGCCCAATCTGCAGCCCACAGGGGAGGAACGTGGCCCATCGGCCCAGCTGCCTACTGGACAGCAGGGGCAGGGCCCACGAAGCTCTGTTCCCAGGCATCCTGAGCTCCAGCCCTCTCGGGCTGGCTGCAGCTGGGCCTCCAGACCCGAAGTGGGCAGGACCTGCCCCGCCCCGAACAGACGGTTGCCCGCCTCACTCCCCTTGTCCAGCCGGAAGCCAGGACTGCAGCAACAGGGTCTTAAAACGAGGCGCCCCCTGGGTGCGGACAGCACTCACTCATGGTGTCCCCTGGTGGGCTGGGTTGGCGTGGGTGCAGGAAGGGCTGATGAATGGGTGTATGAGTCTTGGCTTCCTGTCCAGGCCCCAGCGTCCCCACCTCCCACAGTTGAGGCGCATGACCTCCCTGTGTCAGTCCTGGTCCTGCTGGTGAAAGCTGCTCCTTGGGATTGGGCCCCTGCTCTGACCTTGGAGACTCTGAGTGACCTTGACCCGGGCTGGGCAGGCCTGTGCGCCTCAGTTTCCTCATCTGTAAAGGGAGAGAGCAACGTTGCTGGCTCCCAGAGTGAGCCCAGTGCCCTGCAGACGTCTGCGGGGCGGCCCATCCATAGCAGGAGGGTTTGCTGTCCACTGGGCTATGGGAAGTCACCAGCCCTCGACTGAGGGCCTGGGTGGACCCAGGCTTTGCCCACTGAGGGCCACTGCCCACACTAGGGTCAGGCCAGCCCAGGGCAAGTCATGCTGCCTAGTCTCCATTGTGTGTCACAGTCCCCAAGTCCAGGCCACATAGCCACCCCCTCCTGGAAACTCCCAAGTCCCTGTGCCTCTCAGACATCTGGGGCCAAGGGGTGGGAGTTCCGGGGAGCTGGGCCAGGTTTGCCCGGGTCACCAGCGTGGCCATGGTGGGGTCAGGCTTCTAGGCTCCGAGCTGCACCAGGCTGTAAGATGAGACCTGATCATTGCTAGGGAGGGATGAAGGCACAGATAGTTGTAGGCAACGGGTCAGAGCAGACCGAGCGGGACCTGGCAGAGAGACTGGCCTAGCACTGGCCTGCCACACAGGCTGTGAGGTCCTCACGGGGTCACAGAGTGGGAGGGGAGGAGAAGGTCAGCCCAAGGGGACCCTGGGAATCCAGTGGGAAGGAGCTGTGGTCACCTTCTGGGACAGGGCGGGGAAATGTGGGGCGTGGCAGGGACAGCAGGGCGGAAAAGCGATGGAGCAGTGGGCAGAGCCGCAGTCGTTGGGCCTCACTTGCCTCCACCATACGTCCTTTGTGGCAGTGGATGCAACCTCTGTCAGCCTGGGGTGGTGCTGGCCAAACTCCTCACTCATCGCCCTTCCTCAAGGTCCCCTCCCCTGAATTACTCCTACTTTATAGATGAGGAAGCCGAGGCTGGAGGTGGCATGGCCTGAGCTAATGTCAGTCTGATGCCACACAGCTGCCTGACTCTGTTCCCTCTCCCTGCTTTGATGGACCCTGAAGTCCACAGCCAGCTGACCCCGAAAACCCTCTTCAGGAGAGCAACTGAGCCGTGTTGTCCAAAGACAAGAGCGCTGAGGGCAGAGCAGGGGACCCAGAGACCCCAGTGCAGCTTTGGGGACCCTGTGGAGAGGTCAGAGGTAGAGCAGCAGGGATCCCTGTGCAGCTGGCCACCAGCGTGGTAAGGGAGGCCAGGGTGCGAAGGATGCAGCCAGGAGGGGCTCCAGCCCCTACTTCCAGGCCTCGTTTTCCCCACTGGTGAACGACTCAGAATAATTTCCTCTAGGATCCCTGGCAGGGGTGGTACCAGCACCCAGGGGCCTAGTTACTATGAGCTGCAAAACTGTGTGCCAGGCCTGGTGTGCTGTGGTGCCTTCGGGAGGGAGCCATAAAAATCCAGACCCCGGAGCCCCACCTGAGCTGAGCTGGAGTTGGCGGGGTACGGTCCCCGCACCCACACCCATGGGCTTAGTTGGGGCTCTCATTCCCATCTCCCTCAGGCACTACCTGGGAAACCTTTCCAGCCAGGAGAGAGTGAGACTCTGGCCTGGCCACATGTCGGGCTGCAGAGCCCCCAGCAGCACCAGTGCAGCCTTGACTAGGGAGCATGTGGTGTCCCCACAGTCCTGGTTGCTGGTATCAGCATCAGACTCACCCCTGCCCCAGAGGACCCAGCTCAGGCACAGCACAGTGGCTCAGGCGAAGGTGGGTTCTGGCCCAGGGTCCCTCATGTGTCTGTTCCACATCCAATGGGTGGCTGTTCCTCTCTGAGTCTTCTCTCCTGACCCCTGGGTCCTCAAACGGATATGTCACCAGGTTGTAGACCCCACTGGCAGGGGTGCAGTGCCGGGCACTGGGCTCTGCACAGTTCTCTCCCCAGCTACTCTGTCCCAGAGTTGTTTGTGCCCAGGGTGACACAGGCTCAGCCTCCAGGGAGGAGAGCTTGGACACCGCCCAGCAGCCTGCAGGATAGACACTGCCCCACTCCACTCACACGAAGCCCTAGAGCCCTGGATTCTCGGGCATGGAGTGGGCTGTGGCAGCAGGGCAGCGGGGCCACAGGGTCAGGGATGAATGGGTGCTGTGTCTCCAGGGGAAAGGTCTGGGCAGAAGCATTGTCTGCACAAGGGCGGGACTGTTCTGAATGCCACTGACCGAATGCTTGAGACGGTTGATTGATACGTCTTTTCAAGATCAGGCCCAGCTGACTACTTTGGGAAGCGATAGACCAACTTCAGGCTGCACAGGGAGTGGGGGTGCTGCGCCCCAGGAGCCCCCAGCTCCCCTCTCTCAGCAAGCTCCCCAGAAGGTGGTATCTAGTGGCCCCACTTCTGTCCGGTGCATCTCCAGGGCCCTGCCTGTCAGGGAGCCGGAGAGCTTCAGTTCTGCTGACCTGGGTCAGGGAGAGAGGGCGCCATGCGAGGGGCCCCGAGGCCTGGCAGCTACCTGAGACTGTGCCACGTGTCCCAGTCAGTGTCCTGTCACTTCCTCACTCGCACCTTCCAGATGCTGTGTGTGGCCTGTGCACAACAGGGTCAGGCATCCAGTCAGCAGGTCTCCCTGCGCTGGGGCTGGCTGGCTTGTTAGTGGGGGAACCACAAGTGTCCTCATCCTCTGGCAGTCTCCCTAGAAGGCCCTGTGGCACCCATCCTAGGCCCTCAGGGATAGCATGACATAGGCCCTGGGCCCATGCAGGGAGCACCCAAAGCCAGCTGAAGAGCCACACGTAGGAATGGACCAAATAAGTGTTCGGCTGCCAGAAATGCCTCAGCTTCTAACAATGCACAATGGCTAAAGGCACACAACCGGAACCCAGAACCTCTGCTCGCTTCAGACAGAGGCAATCATCCCGTCCTTCCTGCCGCTCTCTGTGCAGCGCTGGAGTCTGTCTGTCTGTCTGTCTGTCTTTCTTTCTATCTTTCTTTCTTTCTTTCTTTCTTTCTTTCTTTCTTTCTTTCTGAGACAAGGTCTTCCTATGTAGTTCAGGCTGGCCTTCAACTCACTGTGTAGCCCAGGCTGGCCTCACACTCCAGCCGATCCTCCTGCCTCATCTCCTGAGCACTAGGATGACAGATGTGCACTGCTAAGCTTGGCCGTAGTCCTCTTTTGTGTCTGTAGTTTCATACTCTTGGCTGCCTGGATTTCCTGAATCAATGCGAAATGCTCCCTCCTTGTGGTCACTTTGACTTTGGGAAAGAGCCAGAAGTCATACAGTGCCAGGTCTGGTATGGGGGTCTGTGCCTGGATCCCCAATCTCCCAAATGAGTTCACGGTGAAGGCCCAAAGGAATGAGACAAGTGGTATGATTTTTAGGGCTCCAGGAGGACCAAAAATTCTCTGCAGAGTTCATACTCCTGATAGCTTAGACAGGTAATGTCTCTGGGTGGCCCATATTTATTCAAACAGGGAAGGGGTTGAGTGGAAAATGCAGGAAACCTGAGCAGGATCTTGGGAAGGGGTCAAGGACCCCTCCAAGCAACAGACAATGCTAATCAAGGAGAACTATTCTAGGAGAAAGTCTCTAGGTGACCTCAGCTGTGGCCTATCTTGCTCCCTGAGGTGTCTCCTCGTTCTCAGTTTAGCCTGAGCCACGCCACAACCCTGCACATGTATTCAGCTTCAACAGCTCCAACAGGCCAGGGACTCAGGCACACACGACGTAGAGTCACATTTATGAGCTGCCTTTCTGCTGGGTGCCACTCGGCGGCGGCAGTCACCACGCTTTGCACCATGCACATGTGAGGGTAGGAAAGAGGGCTCCAGAGCGGCTGCAGAAAGGGTGCTGTCCAAGTGGGTTCACAGCAGGCAGTCGAGGCAGTGCCTCTACCTGTGATAAACCCATTTGGATTAAATGTGCTCACAGTGCCTGACGGGGCCATGACTGTCTCCAAAAAATATGTGTTTTATGCTCCTTTTTTTTTTGAGACAGGGTCTTGCTAAGTTGCTCAGGCCCATCTCATGCCTGTCATCCTCCTGCCTCAGCCTCCCGAATGCTGGGATTATGGCTCTATGCCATCGCACCCAAATATCTGTTTGTATTCTTTTTAATTTTTAGTAGCACATGTGTGCTGTGCACAGATACCACAGTCATAGGGGTGCTTGGCTGCGTTACTTTGACTCCCCCTTCCATGCCCTGCCTTGCACAGCTCTGCTCTTGGGGGTCCCTGACAGGTCCCCAAGAGCTTGAATGGGGCCTTGGGAGCCGGTCCTGGGTGGGGCTCCAGGAAATGTTGGGGCAGCACCGAGTAAGCCCTGCGAAGGGATAGCCTTTTGGGGGTGTCTTCCTGGGATCCCAGATTTTATATGCTGGGCCCCGTCAGGAGCAGACCCGTGCTGGGAGAGATCCGGGTCTGGAGAGAGCTTGCTAGGGCTGGCCTCAGTCACACTCAGCTGGCCTGCTGCTGTCCAATGGGTGCCATGGCCCCCTTGTCTGCCTATCTGCCTACCTGTCTATCTGCCTATCTGTCTGTCTGCCTGTCTGTCTGTCTGCCTGCTGGCCTGCCTGCCTGCTTGTCTTTCTGTCTGTCTGCCTGCCTGTCTGTCTCCTGATCATTTGCTCCCATCCCCCAGGAAGCCTTCCACGCCTTCCACCAGGACCTCAGCTTCGTGCGCAAGTTCCTGCGGCCCCTGCTGATCGGGGAGCTGGCCCCGGAGGAGCCCGGCCAGGATGGGCCTCAGAATGTGAGGGGTGCTGGTGGCCCAGGACGGGGGACCTAGGGGCTGACCGCTGTGGGGGAGGTGGCCAAGGCCCTGGGAGACAGTGAGCAGCCCTGCAGACCCGATCACGGCCCCCTGCTACACAGGCCCAGCTTGTCGAGGACTTCCGAGCCCTACGCCAGACGGCCAAGGACATGAGGCTGTTCGAGGCTGACCCCGTCTTCTTCGCACTCATGCTGGGCCACATCCTGGCTATGGAGGTGCTGGCCTGGCTGCTCGTCTACCTGCTGGGCCCTGGCTGGGTGCCCAGCACCCTGGCTGCCCTCATCCTGGGGGTCTCCCAGGTACTCAGCACTGCCCTGGTGCTGGTGTGTTTGCTGAATGAGTTGGTGAGGTGCTAATGAGTGAAAGTGGCTGTGCTCTGCTGAGTGGGGAAGCTCACTGCCCTAACCCTGAGAACACCAGTGGGAGCAGGGATGGCAGGGATGGCCAGGGCTGGACAGGAAGTGCGGCAGCCGAAGGGGGCTCATCCTCCAGGATTCCTCCCACTGGGGCTGGGGGGCCCCTCGGAGCAGACCCCAGTGTCTTGCCCCCCGATCAGTTGAGAGAAGTAGACTAGTTCTGGATGGGGGACAGGAGTCTACCTGGAACCTGTCTCCGCTCTGCGTACCCGGAGAAGGAAGCAGGAGAGGGGGTGATGCCGAGCCCTGACATTCACAGGCCCCCTAAGTGGGGAAGGGGCAGCCGGAGCCTCTGAGGGGACACTGAGGTCCCCCCAGCCTGCCCATTCTCTGCCCCTGCAGGCCCAGAGCTGGTGTCTGCAGCACGACCTCGGCCATGCCTCTGTGTTCCCCACGTCACGCTGGAACCGGGTGGCCCAGCAGTTTGTCATGGGGCAGCTGAAGGTGAGGTGGGCGGCCACTGGGGTACGTGGGTGCTGCCCAGTCCCTCGCCCTGACTGCCGCCCCTACAGGGCTTCTCGGCCCGCTGGTGGAACTTCCGCCACTTCCAGCACCATGCCAAGCCCAACGTCTTCCACAAGGACCCGGATGTGACCCTGGCACCTGTCTTCCTGCTTGGGGAATCGTCCGTGGAGGTGGGTGGGGGCCTGTTCTGGAGCCTGCCCTTAAACCCAAGCCCAGCAGTACCCACAGCCCCACCTGTCTCCGCAGTACGGCAGGAAGAAGCGCAGATACCTGCCCTACCACCGCCAGCACCTCTACTTCTTCCTCAGTGAGTGCCCGGCTGGATCCTACCGCTCACAGGGTGCAGTAACCCTGGCCCCACAGCAAGCAGGGAGCCCTGGGCCCCTCTCATGGCAAGCGGGCCCTGAAGCACCACCTGCCCCCTGCCCCTTGACCTGCAGCAGAAGGGTCGGAGAGGTGCCTGGTGGGTGAGGGTCGCCCCCCTCTGGTCCCAACCAGCGCTCATGCTGTGCCCTCTGCACCCCACAGTTGGCCCCCCACTACTCACACTGGTGAACTTCGAGGTGGAGAACCTGGTGTACATGGTGCTGTGCCTGCAGTGGGCGGTGAGTGGCCACCGTGTCCATGTCCTGGCAGAGCTGCCCATACTCTTGTGGCACCATTGTCCCTGTGGTCGGCCCCAGGCTGTGATCGGGGACCTGTTCTCTCCAGGGAGGGTTGCACGGGGTCTAGCACCCTGACCCTGCTCAGTGCAACCTGCACCACTGTCCACAGGACTTGCTCTGGGCTGCCAGCTTCTATGCCCGCTTCCTCCTGGCCTATGTCCCCTTCTACGGTGTCCGAGGGGCACTGCTGCTCTATGTGGCTGTCAGGTAGGGACAGGATGGCTGCAAGGTGGGCGGCGCTGCCATCTAGGGGTGACTCCTGAGCCACTGGGGTGGGGAGCCAGGCGGGACGTGGGCGCCGTTGGCTTCCACAGGGTCCTGGAGAGCCACTGGTTCGTGTGGATCACGCAGATGAACCACATCCCCCGGGATGTTGGCCAGGAGAAGCACCGAGACTGGGTCAGCGCACAGGTGGGGGCTGGGCTGGGCCGGGTGGGCCCAGGTGGGGGCGATGTGGGGCAGCTCTCACCCACACCTGCACTCTGACAGCTGGCAGCCACCTGCAACGTGGAGCCATCGTCCTTCGTGGACTGGTTCAGCGGCCACCTCAACTTCCAGATTGAGCACCAGTGAGTGGGGCAGGTGGGTGGCAGAGGCCCTAGCAGCCCTGCCCAGTGACCGAAGCCCATGCAAGCCACCCTGTCCCCCGCAGCCTCTTCCCTACGATGCCCCGGCACAACTATCGCAGGGTGGCACCACTTGTGCGGGCGCTGTGTGCCCGGCATGGCCTGCTCTACGAGGTCAAGCCCTTCCTCACCGCCATGGTGGATATTGTCAGGTAAGGCTGAGCTGGGTCCCCAACTGGCACAGCAGAGTTTGGGACGCCCCACAGACCACTCAGTTTGGGAGCTACTGGGGAGACAGAGGCAACCCAGAGACCTGCAACTGACAGCAGACTCGGGACAGGCTTTGGCACAATAGCAACATGGCAAGCTCTGGGCAGGGGTGTGGGGCTGGGGCCAGCTGCATGTGGGAGAACACAATTGGACACACCAGTGCTTGCAGGACACTTACTTGGAAAACAGAGCCCAGGCTCCAAGGCCCTGCAGGTTGGGCACCCCTACACTGCCAGGAGCCTGACTGGCTGAGTGGGCAGGCTTGGGTCTCTGTGTTCTGTCTTTGGGCCTAGGAGGGAGGTGACATGGAGAGCTCGGTAAAAGGACAGGGCCTGGATTCGGCCCCACAGCCCAGCTGAGTCCCTGCCCACTCTGAGGCTGGGCACTCACCTGATCGACCTCACTGGAGCCCTGCCCCTGTCCCTCCCCAGGTCCCTGAAGAAGTCTGGTGACATCTGGCTAGACGCCTACCTCCACCAGTGAATCTGGAACATACCCGGCCCCCGTGACCAAAGCCGCACCCTGCTGGGTGCTGCTGCCCTCTCTCCCCAGGCATGTGGGGAGGTGTGGGGACCCTAGGGCAGCACGTTTTCCTACAGCAGAATTGGAGAGAACTGTTATTTTTCTATAAAAGCTGATTCAGACTTAGTGTGGTGCAGAGCAGTGTGTCTATGTGGATTTGGGGCTGGGATCTGCCCAGCTTTCGCAGGGTAGGCTTTGGAGACTAAAGGTGCAGGGGGTGGGGGGCAGAGGATCATGTGTGTCTAGAATGACTCCAGGAATAAGGCTGCCCACCAGCTATAGGATCTGCTTTGCCCTGGGTGTGCTCAGTCTCACTGGTTCTCTTCAGGAGTGGAAAGGGTACAGGGCTCAGTTATTCTTTCCAGGCCTCCGTGGCAGGGAGCTGGGAGATGCTGGGCTGCTCCCAAGGCCCTGACACAGGGCAGCCCCCGCAGCTCCGCCTGGGAACCTCATTCCCAGGCCCTTGGCACGTGATCTGGGCGTCCAGAGGGGAGCATGCTCTGGTTCTGAGCGGCAGGAGGGAGGGTGTAAGTGCCCACTGCAGCCCCAGGACCCCACCAGCCACCCTGGCCCACGCACACGGCTTTCACTCGCCTTCTGGGGCCCTTCTCGGGACCAGTTGGGCCTAGCCATGCAGGGGGCATGGGTGTGGAGTGCCAAGTTTGCCCTGACCAGGATTCAAGGATGTGTGACCAGGGCTCAGCCTCTCTGAGCCCAGTGCTTCCTCCTAGGTGACAGAATAAAAAGGGTCACATTTTGTGTACTCGGCCCCAGGCTCAGTTTACTCCTTGCCCTGTGACCCAAGTTTCATTTTGTTCCTGGGAACTGTGGAGCATTGGTCACCCTTGAAAGAAACTCCAGTCTGAGCACAGCACCCAAAGGCCTGGTCATCTCCGCCCATCACGCCCTGCCCGTTCCTGCCTGATGGTGGTCGGGTTGGCCAGGCAGTCATGGGAGACGCTGGCACTGGGACTCTTAGCCCACTGGCCACACCCAAAGGACCTCCAAAGCTGCAGTGCCACCTAGGCCAGCACCGTGTGGAGCTGCTGTGTGTGCTGCTGCCCTTGGTGGCCCAGGGCTATGCAGGACTGGCTGTAACCCAGTTGTAAAGGACCTGGACCCTCCTTACAGGCCCTGTCTTCACTGGTGCCCAGGGGGTGGACCAGTGCCCCCCCACGCCGCACCTCCTCTCTTCCCGCTTCTGAACTTGAGCTCCTCCCTCCCTATAGGTAGCTTATTCAGTCAAGAACAAAGCAGGGGACACAGCCAGGTTGGCAGAAGCGCAGCAAAGCTCTGCAGGGCCTGGGAAACCCTGTGTCCCCTCCCAGCCCTTTCAGTGGTCCCCAGGGACCGCACTGAGGTATAGGTGTGCTTCCCACTAGCTGTGTCCCATGGGCTGGCTCCCGGGACCAAGCCTGCTGGTGGTAGGGGTCAGGGAGCAACAGACAGGTGCAGCCAGTTGCACACATCTGTGGCCCTCATGCCTCACCAGGCTGGCCCCAGCCACTCCAAGCTTGGGTGCCTGAGCAGCCCCTTCAAGGTGCTGGTGAGCAGGCCTGTCTGACCAAGGCTGCCTCTCCCAGCGGCTGGAGGACTTGGGCATCCAAGGGGGCTGAGTAGCTCCCAGGCCCCGGGCACCCCAGGCTCAGACAGCCCACACTGCCGATAAGGCTGTCAGAGCAGGGCCTGTGGCGAGAGCTTAGCTGCTTATCTCCTTCTCAGGGCCAACCATCCGCACAGCACCGCCTCCACCCAGCCAGGCAGGGACAAGCTGTGTGGCCTTGGGCATCCCTTCTGGAGTCTCTGCTCCCTACCTGGGAATGCAGAGTCATGGAATGTGGGAGGGGGGTGGGAGCCTGGCTGAGAGCCAGCAGGAGGGGCGGCTGTGGTAGCACTTGGGGATCACAGAAGGTCCAAGCATCTGTCACCAGGCTGAGCCCCAGCCGGACCTACGTTGGGAGCCAGGCACACGGTACCCAGCCCAAGATGGGCAGCACACACTGTGCCTACCAGCTCCAAGACATCAGTGGGCAGCAAGGGACACAAGCAAGTGCTCTTGGCTGATAAGTCAGGGTCGAACCAGGGCTGCTTTGTGGCTGGGCCTCCATAGGCACCCACCCCGTTCCCAACTGCCTGAAGCCACCAGGGAGTCACAGCCCCCCGGACCCTGGCATGGGAGCAGAGTGCAGCATGGGGTCATTTCTCCAGCTTTCTAGCCCAAGCCAGCACCCTGACCCCAGCACACAGGAAGCAATCCAGGCACACACAGCTCATGCTGAGCCTTGTGGAAGTGAGAATAGACTCCTTTATTCTTCAAAAACAGGTGGGGGCAACATGATAAAAAATTAAGTTCAGTTCACGATGGATTCATTTTGCCCTCGTGGGAGCAGACAAGACCCCCTCCTGGACGCTGGTTAGTGGGTTAGATCCCCCCCGCCCCCTGCCAGCTGCGCCCAGTGTAGGCCTGGTGAAAGGCAGATTGTCCTAGGCCCCGCCCGGCCCCCTCCTGTTGGAATGCACCTGTAGAAAACGTGAAAACAGCAAAGATTAAAAACAGTCAACAGGAGAGTGTCAGAGAGGCCATGTGGGCATGGTGTGGTGGCCTGGTCTACGCTTCGGGCTCCAGCCAGAGCATTTTGGGAAGGGGTCCTGGAGCCTGCGGTGGGGAACCTAGAACTGCAGTCAGCTCTTGGTCAGCAGAGGGCCCAGCACTGACCCCAGGCAACAGCCCCACTCCCTCCAGGGGAGTGGGCCAGCTGGGAATGCTGCCCGCAGAGCCCCAAGAGGGTCCGAGGTGCGAGAGGGGATAGTCCCGGGCCTGGCAGCTGAGCCCTGGGATCCTCATGAGGTGGCAGGAACTGCAGGCAAGGATGTGCTGTCCACCAGGGCCACCTCTCTCCCACTCCCAGGTCAGGGGCACTGGACAAGACGGGGCCAGAGGTCAGTGAGAAGGGAAGGGAACAAGAAGAGATGACCAGCCTGGGGGAACCTTCAGAACAAAGGCTCCTCTCTTGGCCGTCACCCCATGCCACTCCATCCCCCTTGGGCAGCCGGTCACTTGTGGAGGTAGGCGTCCAGCCACAGCTGCCCCGACTTCTTCAGGGACCTGGGAAGGGATGGGGGAGCAGGCTCAGGAGCTGGCCAGCTGTAGGGAGGCTGGGCCAGGGGCCAGGGACCGGGGGCCAGGCAGACGACCCACAGAGCCCTCACCTGATGATGTCCAGCAGGGCCTGGAGCAGTGGCTTCTCCTGGTATGGGATGCCATGCTTGGCACACAGGGACTTTACCAGTGGGGCGATCTTGTGCAGGTTGTGGCGAGGCATGGTGGGGAAGAGGCTGTAGACAGAGGATAAGCCCTGAACTGGCCAGGGCCCTGGAACACTGGGGAACACCAAGGTGGGCGCCCAGAAGTGGCAAGGCGGGCAGCTGGGCCATGCTCCAGGCCACTGCCATCCCGCCTCCCCCACCTCACTCACTGGTGCTCAATCTGGAAGTTGAGGTGGCCGCTGAACCAATCGTTGAAGAAGGACTGCTCCACGTTGCAGGTGGCCGCCAGCTGTGGAGGCAGGGGGTGAGTGTGGCGCAGGGGCTGCCCGCCCTCCCACTGCACGGCCCTGGAGCCTTACCTGGCTACTGAACCAGTCTCGGTAGTGGTCCAGGTTGATCTCCATGACAATGTGGTTCATCTGCGTCACCCACACGAACCAGTGGCTCTCTAGGAACCTGGCGGGGCAGGTGCAGCTCAGGCTCAGGATGGGTCCTTGGCAAAGCACCACCAGTCCTGCCCTGCCCCACCCTGCCCTGTCCCCAGCACCTGATGAAGTTGAGGAAGAGGAGGGTGCCCAGGACGCCGTAGAAGGGCACATAGGTGGAGAAAAAGCGCACGTAGTAGCTGATGGCCCAGGCCAGGTCCTACAGGGCAGGCAAGTCAGAACCCTGCTCAGCTGCCAGCTCCACGCCCTGTGTGGGCGTCCAAAGAAACCAGCGCCTCGAGGAGGCTGGTACCAGGCCTGTGGGCACGTGATACCCTTCTGCCTCCCGAAGTGTGGATACCCCAGAGAGAAGCCAGGGCTCGTGCCAGCAGCCCTGGAGAGGGTGCAGCGGTTCTGGAGGCTGTGGGTCCAGACCACAATCTCGGGGCTGGAGGTAGGCGAGGTCCTGAGCTTGGCTGCTCTTCTCTCCCATCCGGGACAGGTGTGGCCTGCACAGCTCAGCCCACCCCGCTCTCCTGTTTGTCCTTTGGCACCCTAGCAACTGGCAGCTCCTGTTCCAAGTGGAGGTGTCCCGGGGGATGCAGAGCTCTGTGGAGCCCCCTCCTCCACACCCGGCCAGCTCTTGAGGGGCACGGTGCCCTTTGACAGGCTGTTCCTCTCTCAGGAACTCATGCATTTCCACTGGTGAGGGGGAGGGCGCCATCCAGCTCTGGCCACTGTTCTCTGTCCTGGGCATCCATGATGCAAACAAAAAGGAGGGGCCTGGAAAGCACCTCAGGTCAAACCGCAGCCAGCATCCCTGGGCCAAAGGACGCCTGGCACCCACCCTGCCAGACACTGCCAGGTGCCCTCGGAACTGGCCTTTAGGGCCACTGTGCCCTAACATCCCAGGGCATCCCTGATGTACCCACTCCACCAGCTCTGCCTCTGCAGATGTAGTCTGGCTTCCTGGCCTGCTCTCTCTGGGCAGTGCTTTGCTCCTACTGAACAGCACAGTAAAAACACCGAGAAAGGGACGCCATGCACTCACATCCAGAATCCTCCACTGTGAAACCTAAAAACACATACACTAGTTCTCCCGGTGCTCTAAGAGGCTGAAGCAGGAGGAGACAAGTTGAGGCCAAACCTGGGCCATTTAGCAACTGAGACCTTGAATCAAGGTAAAAATTGGGGTGGGGATACAAAACCTAACACAATACAACAAAACACAAAGCTGCAGCCCCTCCCATCCTCTCCAACTGCCCCCACCCCAGGACATTTGGGTTCAGAGGTCAGCTCAAGCTGCTCCAGGAAGGCCAGGCCCCATTGTGGGCAGGGCAAGCTATCACAGCACTCCAGCCCCAACTGGGCAAGAGAGAAAGGGTGTCCTCAGGCACCCCTCACTCTGGAGGCAAAATTGGGAGCCAGTTGTTGGTGTTGTATTCTTAAACTCCTATTTGAATGTTGCATCCCCAGGACCCCTGCAGGTGACCGCCTGTGGGGACAGCTGGGATGGGACATCAAGGTGGCCCTGACCCAGCAGGACAGGATCTCTGGGAAGGTGACATTTGGATACACAGACAGGATAGATGGGAAGTGGCTGCCTATCCGCCAAGGACAGGGATTCCCTCACTTCACTGGGAGACCAACTGGGCCCTTCCCAGCCAGGTAGTGTGGCGGCCTGGCTCCCACCCCCATGAACACGGTGGTTTGGCAGCATGGTTCTCCAGGCAAGGGGACTTCTGGCTGTCTGCCCCCCGCCCCCTCGCCCCACACTCACCACCCAGTCCTTGCGCCTGACCATGGTCATGATGATCTGGTACTGGAAGTACATGGGGATGAGCAGTGGTGGCCCGACTGTGGGAGAGTGGGCCCAGTTAGCGCCCACCGCACGGCCGCCCTTCCACCCTAACTTGGCTGCAGCAGGGGAGGATTTCAGGGCCAGCGGGTGCAGCCAGGTCTGGAGAGGGGCAGCCCTGCACTCACTCAGGAAGAAGTACTCATGCTGGTGGTTGTAGGGCAGGTACTTCAGCTTCTTCTTGCCGTACTGTGGGGAGAAGATGGGGCAAAGCCCTGAGCACTGTACCCAGCTGCCACAGCCAGCCCTCCTGGTTCTCCACACCCCGAACAGACCAGCTGTGGGAGGAGGGGGCTGGGAAGACCCAAGTGAATGCCTATCATTTCTTTGCTTCTCCTTCCTTCTGTTCTTTCTTCCCCCTTCCCTCCCCCCTCCACCACTTGCGATGGAATGTGGGCTCTGTGCACTCAGCGACATCCTGGGCCCTGTTTTGACTTATTTTGAGACATGGCCTCACTAAGTTTTTCAGTCACTCAGGCATGGCCAGAACTTGTAATCCTCCTATCTCAGCCTCCCCTAGAGCTGGGATCACAGGAATGCTCACCATGCCCACAGGCCTCTTTAATCTTTTCCTTTCCTTTTTTCAAGAGTAAGAAAATTTATTGGGGACAGGGAACAGCTCCTGAGCTACAGGGGGGTCCCAAGAGGACCCTTAACTTCCAAAAGCCACCACACTCCCAGCTCACAGAACTCTTGAACACGGGGTGCCCTGTGTGGCACTGGCACCAAGAGCCACCTTGGTCACTGATGCCCTAAACAACACGGCCCCAGGGACCATCCACCCAAAGGGGCTGCGCATAGCTGGTGCTGGTGGCCACTAGATCTGCTGTGCTCTGCTCCTGATACAGCCTCTCAGCCTCCTGACCCTGGCTTGGTAGGGCCTGTAGGGTCCCTGAGAGAGGCAGGCTCACCAAGCTGCAGGCTGGGTGCATGGAATGGGTGCTGTTTGTGCCAGCATAGGTGGGCACTGCTTCACGCCTGTCCCTGGCTGGACCTTGTGCAGGCAAAGGCTTTGGGCAAGGCTGACCTTGTGCCCTCACCCAAAAGCCGGAGCACAGGGCTGGGAAACTCAGGCTCTGCCATGTGCAGCTCGGGCGTGGCTTCCTTGTCCAACAAACAGCTCAGTCTTGGGAGCCAGACCGGCCTGGAGAGTAGTCTCAGGCTGCACCATGCTGTGGGGGACCAGCACCTGGCGCCCCTGTAGGACCAGGCTTTGAGTCCAGGGCATCCACACCGAGCCACAGCCCTAGAGCTTTTAAAAAAATTGAAGTTCTTCTTTTTAATTTTGAGACTTTGCTGAGTTGCCCAGACTGGATTCAAACTTAAAATTCTCCTGCCTCAGCCTATAGGATGATGGGATGACAGGCATGAATCCCCACACCTGGCTAAGCTTCTCCATTTATCAGCAAGCTGGAGTCACCCAAAACACAACACTTCACAAATGACTGCAGTGTGTGGTCGTGGCGTCCCCTTTCGGGGTCCCTTCATCTCTCCCAGTCTGGGTTTCCTTGTCAGAGTGAGGACAAGAGACCCTACTCCTTGGGCCAAGCATGCAGGTACGGTCAACCAGCACCACCTCCTCCCCTACAGAAGTTCCTGTCCCCTGCATTGGAAGCAGGGTTCACCTGCAGGGCCAGGGAGGAGGGAAGACAGTGCCTTTGCCCACAGGGCTGTGGGCTAAGGTGCAGAGGGCTCCCTGGAGCCCGACCCCGAGAAGAGAGTGTCCACACAGGGCTGGCCTTGTGTGGGGAGAGCCAGGGAGGGGTGCTGCCCAGCACGGTGCTGACTCTCTCACCTCAGCCTTCTAGGCTTAGTACAAATGTCTGAGGAAGAAGGACCAGGTACTAAAACCCCAAGAAGAAACAAGGGTGGAGCCATCTGAAAGGAAGAGACCCTGTCTTCCCAAATGTAAAACCTAGCGGGAAAATAATTAGGCTTGAACACTAGAGATCAAAACCGCCAGCCCCAGATTTAGCTCAGTGGCATAAGCGCCTGCCTTGCAAGTGTGTGATCGTGAGTCCGAACCCCGGTACCGATAAAAAAGAAAAAGACAAAAAACACAAAACAAAACAAACAAACAAACAAAACCTGCCAGCCCCACTGGGTGTGGTGATGAACACCTGTAATCTCAGCACTTGGGAGGCTGAGGCAGGAGGATCGCCCTGAAGTTGAGGCCAGCCTGGGCTACACAATGCACTACACACTGAAGCCCTGTCTCAACAACAACGGTGACAACAAAGCCAGCTCCAATCAGCCTGTACTGGCTGTACCTGCCTCAAGCTCTTCCTCCCTGGCTACTCTAAGGGAGTTAAGCAAGGATGGGCCGGCCAGGGCTGGCACTTTTGACCTCTGGTTTTCAAGGCTGATTCTTTTCTTTTTTTTTGGCACCAGGGATCAAACTCAAGACCTCGAGCTTGTCAGGCAGGTACTTATGCCACTGAGCTAAATCCCTGGCCCTAAGGCTGATTATTTTCCTTGTAGTCTTATTGTTGGGAAAACAAGAGATTAGATTTTCCCTAATTTCAAGATATGATTATCTACCCAGAAATCCCCAAAGGATCTGCTGGAAATCATGAATCCTGCAGAGAGGTCCATGGACACAGCCGTGAACCCACTGGGTGACATGAGAAACCCAGCACCCAGGAACAGAGAGTGGCCAGGGGATGGCAGGACACAGGCCTCATCCCGGAAGACAGTGCAGGGGATAGGTGCACCCTCAGAAGTGGGGGGTTGCCCAACGGCAACCCAGAGAGGAAGGGGGCCTAACGAGGATGAGAACGGAGATGAGTGAGGGCCCCGGGCCCCAGGCCAGACCCTGGCTGGCTCCTGCTAGGACCCAACACCTCAGGTGGCAAGCAGGACAACGCAGTGCCAGGTGTGGACAATGCCTTGGCACCTGGGTCCCCGCACCTCCCTCCAAAACGTGGCACCGGGGAAGTGAGACTCGAAGGGGCTCTGGCCACCACAAGGAGGAGGTCCCAGGCCAGCCCAGGTCATTGCCAGGAACACAGTGTGTGTCACCCAGAGTGGTCAGGCTGGGGGAGGCCTGGGGAGAACCCAGTGTCTTCTGCCGGGCCAGTGCTCCATGAATGGCCCCCTGTTGACTCTAGGTGTGTGCTGGCCACCGCACCCTACCTCCCCTCAAGCCTGAGAGGTGTACCAGGCACACTGTCGAATGGCTGTGTCCCAAAATCCTCTGGACCACTGGGGGCCTCTGTGTGAAGCCTCCAAGGGGAAGGGAAGATGAAGGGGCCCAAGGAAAAAGCAGTGATGGGACCGGAACTGGAATCAACCCAGGTGGCCCAGTCACTGCACCTGGATTTTCAGAAACTCTCCCACAGGCTGGCACACACGGTCTCTCTCTCTCTCTCTCTCTCTCTCTCTCTCTCTCTCTCTCTCTCACACACACACACACACACACACACACACACACACACACACCCGAGCAGAGTTTAGCCAGGTCTACATGCACTAAGAGCAGGTCACAGAGTGGACGATGGACATCCGTGCCTTCAGGTGCTCCCATATCTCAAGCAGGAACCGTGAGATGCTGGCTGATGTGGATCAGTCACCCCAGAGCACGAGGGGCAGGAGCATGTGGGGAGGAGGGACACTCGCTTTTTCTTGGGTTTTTTGGGACAGTCTCACTATGCAGTGTTAGCTAGCCCTGAACTTACTATATAGCACAGCCTGGCCTCAAACTCGTGGCAGTCCACCTGCCTCAGCTTCCTGAGAGCTGGGATAACAGGCTTGGCCACCATGCTCAGTGAGACTCACGTTTAAATCCCATGTATTTCTCTATGGTTTCAGTGTTCACACCCATACTAAAAAGCCATCCAGATGAGCACACAAGCAGGGCACAGCCCTAGGGCGGCAGATCTGGCCAGGCAGCGTCACCAGGATGCACCCCATCCCCACCATCCTTTCTTGCCATGTCATCCTGGAGGTGGCAAGCACCAGGCGAGCTAGGGGGGGCTCCTCCCAGCGGGGCACTGGCTTCCTGCAAAGTACACCAGACCCCACAAGAGGACAGAGGGAGCCGTGTGCCGAGCTCACCCCAACCCAACGGAGGGGCCAGCTGCTTAGCAGAGTCCCCACCACCACCATCGTAGTCCCTGGGTCGCACCTCCAGGGGCTGCCACTCGCCCAGGACGAACACGTGCAGCATCTTGATATCCGGGTCCTTGTGGAAGATGTTGGGCTTGGCGTGGTGCTGGAAGTGGCGGTGGTTCCACCAGTTGGCGGAGGCACCCTGTGGGAGAGGCACGAGGTGAGCCCTGGGCCCTGACCCCCAAGCCTGGCCCCAGCCAACTCCCCCATCACATGCCAAGGCCCCTGAGCAGCTCCGGCCTCAGTTTCCCCCACTCTGAGATGGGGTAGTGAGTAGAAAAAGCGGATGCCAGTCCACAGGGTAAGCCCTGGGAGCTCAGGGGCACAAAGCCTTCCATGCCTGCCCAAAACCACACACCCCAGGGCTGCACCTTGGAATGGGCCCCCAAGGCAGCAGGATACATCCCTGTCCCTGGGCTCTGACCGGCAAACCCTGTGCTGGGAATCCAGCACATCCAGTGTGGAAATGCCCACCGGCATGGGGGCAGACGTGGCCCAGCAATGGCCCAGGACAGTGGTCAGGCACCTCCCAGGTTCCCCAGGCTCGTGAGCATGTTGGGGGCGCCAAGCTGACTTGGGCCTAGGAGGAGGAGGGGTGGCCTGGAAGTGCCCCCTCCTTCCTGCTCCCCCATCTTTGCTCCAGGTCCACAGGGATGGGACGGCTGACACCGCTCAGGCGAGGGGCAGCCAGGTGAAGGAGACGAGGTTACATAGACGCTGCCTGTGACCACAGTGGCCCCAGCCGAGGATTCATTTGTTCAGAAACCTCGGGCCTTGGTGGCCCGGTGTATCTCAGAGGGGCTGGGCCGCACTTTGGCCATGGGTCTGGCCAGATGCACCAGCACTTTTTCAGGGAAAACAAACTTTTCCCCTGGGAAGCAATTCTGGCATCGACTCGGCTTCTGGACACTAGCAGTCACAGGCGGGGACATCGAAGGACAGCTGTAGCCTCTGCTGCAAACTCAAGCCCCTCAGGGCAGGGTGGGGCTCAAAAGCAGCACAGCACAAGCGAAACATCAGAGGGCAGAGCTGAGATGTGGGAATCAGACGTCATGTTCCTGTCTAAGGCTGGAAGGATGCACTGCCCTGGAGGGGGCCAACAGGAAAGGCCCCGGCAGGGACCTTGAGCGGCGAGGACAGGACAGCTGGACATCTGGAACAGGGTGGACTGTGGGGCCAGGGCTCCACCCTCCAGCAGCCCCAGAACAAAACCCGGAGACTGTGTTGCGTGGGTGTGGGAGCCAGGATGAGGGACGGTGCTGCCGGCCCTGGAGGAATTGCGCCCTCCAGACCCCTCCTCCTGCTGGGACTGTGACCAGCCAGGCTGCCTGCGTCTCTCCCACCCTGAGCCGGTGGTGAGGCAGGGACAGCGCCCTGGCTCCCAGGCGTCGAGGGGTGTGGACATGTCTGGGGCAGTGGAGGGACCAGAAGTCAGTGGCCAGGGGACAGAGTCGGCTGTCAAGGGAAGCCTTGGGTGCCTGGTCTCAGGGGAGGGACAACCCAGTTTCACAATTTCTGCCAAACAAGGGAGGAGTGTATGGAGTTTGTAATTACTTCTTGGTGAGGCAAAAGAGGAATGAATTGTGTTTTGGGATAAACAAGACATTTAAAAGCTGAGTGTGGTGGCATAGCCCTGTATCTAGCCCTCAGGAGAATGGTAAAATTGCCATGATTTTGAGACCAGCCTGAACTGCATAGCAAAAAGTAAATTAAAAATAACAAATATTTAAATCTAAAATTATCTTGGAATTTTTAATACACCAACTTCCCAAATTTTAAACTTTTTACAACAGCTCCTTCTATTCAAGAGAAAAAATTAAAATACCCAATCCAAAAATGGGCATCTGAGATAATACACGTTTCAGATGAAGGAATACAGACGGTAAATAAATATAGGAAAAAATGTTCAACATCACTGGTCACTCAAGAGACACAAATTAAAACAACACTGAGATTCCATCTCATCCCAGAAAGAATGGCTATCATCAAGAAATCAACCAATGACAAATGTTGGCGGGGCTGCAAGGGAAAAGGAACTCTTCCCCACTGTTGGTGGGAGTGGAGACTGGTGCAACCACTGCAGAGGTCAGTGTGGGGATTCCTCAAAAAACTAGGATTGGACGTCCCATTTGACCCAGCTATTCCCCTTCTGGGTATCTTTCCAAAAGAATTAAAAATATCATACCACAGAGTTATATGTGCACCCATGTTTATAGCAGCACAATTTGTAATAGCCAGATCTTGGAAACAGTCCAAGTGCCCATCAAACAAGGAACCGATAAAAAAATGTGTTGTTTTTATACAATGAAGTACTACTCAGCTATATAGAAGGACTTAAAGCCATATTCAGTAAGTGAAATAAATCAAACTCATGTAAATATTGTCTTGACTCCTTAGTGTGAGCAGCTGAAAGAATAAATAAGATGCAAAATGTACAACAGATATTGTAAAATGGGAAGAAACTTCAAAAGGAAAGAGAAACTGGGATAGGGGAATGAAGAAAAGAAGGAAGGGAAAAGTAATTAAAATATATATATATAAGCAACAAAACCCAAAATGTGTAATCGTCATTGTACAAAAGAGAGGAAAAGAGAGTGCTCTAAATGATATAACTGCATGTATATTTAAGTGTGTAAGATAGATAATGATATTACTGAGTTTTGTTGGATCATTGAACAGAACTGTTTGCAGTCTCACTGTTAGAATGTCCACTTTATAAGCTTTAATTTTGTAACTTGAACAACTATTTCTAAGATGACAATATGTAACCCACTAACTAGTGATTTCCTACTGTTTATTTTTTTCTGTAAATCTGTATAACTTGTACCCTTAAAAAAATATATATATATATATATTTACAACAGTTAAGGTAGTTACTAATTTTCTTAACTTATTAATATTGTTTGTATAAAGGGCTGGGGATTTAGCTCAGCAGCATAAGCACCTGCCTTGTAAGTGTGTGGTCATAAGTTCGATCCCTGGTACTGATAAAAAAGAAAAAGACAAAATATTGTTTGTATAGTTAAATGCCTATATTTTGTATCCTGAAAAACTAGCTTAAAGACAACAATATGCATTCTATTAAAAAAAAAAAAAGCTCCAGGGGAAGAGAATCAACCATCCATATCCGGGGGTGTGGTTTCCATGGGATTCAGCTCACCCGGAGACTTTTACTTAAAATCTGGGAGGCTGAGGCAAGAAGATGGCTAGAACCCAACCTGGGCAATTTAGCAACCTAAGGAGACCCTGTTACAAAATCAAAAAGACACAAATGGCCCAGGATGGAGTTAGGCCAAAGACCCGGATTCAATCTCCTTTCTGCAAGAAAAGACCCTTCTTGGAGGCCAGTTCTGTCCCTGTGGGAGGGCTGCCCACGGAAGGGGCCCGTGCCCCACGACAATGTGACCGGCTGTGCCTTCCCAGTCTGGCCCTGCTCCCTAGCGTCCTGGGACCCTAGGCAGCACCTGTTTCTTGGATGGAGCCCGGCGAGCTGCCTGGGCATGCTCAGCCCTGCCCAGGGCACTGTCTCAGGAACACAGCCAGAAAGGGCTGGCACCAATCCCCATCACCCGAGGGCCACTGTTGTAAGCAGACGGCGCAGGGAGGCCTGGCCTCTGTCACTCAGGAGCTGGGCTCCAGGGACCGGCCAGAACTCAAGGCCAAGGCAGGGAAGTCCCAGCGCTTCCCGCATCTGGGCCAGGACACAGCGGATCTTTGTGCAGACTGGGACACCCTCGGAGGGAAATGTTACTTTCCCGGACTGAGGAGGTTCTATCCTCGGGACACAAGGAAACAAAGCCCAACTGTGTGAATGCCCTCCACCACTCCAGTCTCTGGAAAGAGCCCAGTTCCCAGGCTCTGCTGGCCAGGCCTACTTGTCAGGTCCTGGTGGCCAGACAGTGCTGCCTGCAACACACCCGCTGACCTACACCTGCAAGTCCTGGTCGGTCGGTCGGTCAGGCAGGCTTTAGGTCACAGCTTACCTGGGCACAGAGGTCTTCCCAAGTCAGGACAGGGAGGAGGACCTCCGGGACTCAAGCTGTTCTTTTGTTGGATTTTTGAAGGGAGGGTCTCACAACAGTTCAGGCTGGCCTCAACTCACTATACAGCCTCAAACTCACAGTGATTTTCCTGCCTTGGCTTCCTGAGAGCTGGGATGACCAGCATGTGACACCACACCTGGCTTAGCTTTTCTTAGAAAATAGCTGGACGCTGTTGGGGTCAGGTTTTCTGAGAGAGCTGGCCAGGCCTCAAGTCCAAAGCCCAGGAAATTAACAACAGTTAGACAGTGTCTTGCAGCCCTGCTCAACCCTCTTCGAGCCCCATCCCCTCCAATGCAGCGAAAGCAGGGCAGCCTCACCTCTGTGTGCTCCACAGCTTCTGGCTAAGCTGATCAATGGTTCATGCCCCTCTCCCCATATCATCACATGGCCCCTATGCAAGGGGGCCCCATGCTGAGCCCAAAACACAAACTGAGCTGGTGACACTTGCCTTTAGGTGGCCGATAATGAACTTGTGGACGAGATGGTTCCACTTGGACTTCTTGTACACAGAGAGGTGGCCATAGTCGTGCTGCAGCCACCCGGCCTGGGCCTGGGGAGGGGTGGAGGCCGTCAGCAGCGGCGGAGGACGCCGGCCAGGTGGGGTGGGAAGGGCCGGCCAGCACCGCTCACCTGGGAGGTGGCGAGGACACAGGCTGTGAGCAGTGTTGGGACCCAGCCATTGCCAAAGTAGAAGACAATGAACCAGGCGATGCTCTCCATGGCCACGATGTGTGCCAGAAGCAGCAGGAAGAACAAGTGGTTGGTCTGGAACAGGTTCATGTCCTCTGCTGCCTTCTTCAGGGCCCGGAAGTCCTCAGTGATGTCAGACTGTGGTTCAAGGATGGGAGTAGGGGCTCAGCCACCGCCCCCTCAGGAGCCCAGGCTTCTACCTCAACACAGGGCAGCCACCCCAAGATGTGACAAGGACTCGGGCCACTGCCCTGGCACTGCAGGAGCCTGGCCACCACACATGGGGCCAGGCTGTTAACCACATATCGCTGTGGTTGGCTAAGCGAATCCCACGTGCCCATGCTCTACCCCAGGCTGGCACACAGGCAGCACTCGGCTCCTTCTGGGAGGAGGAAGCAGCACCCACAGCAGTAGGGCGACACCAGCTACGGTCAAGTGCTGGTTTTGGGGACTCGGTGCTCCTTCTGCCCCCAGGGTATGGTGACAGCTCCTCCTGGACCAGTCCTGAGCTGAGGGGACCCTATGCCCGCCCAGGTCCCCCACTGCACTCACGCTCTTGCCATGGTCCAGACTGGGCTCCTCTGGGGCCAGCTCACCGATCAGCAGGGGCTTCAGAAACTTGCGCACAAACTCGAGGTCCGGGTGGAAGGCTCGGAAGGCATCCTGCAGGGAGGACACCTGTGAGGCAGGGCCCTGTCTGCCCTCAGGTGACCGTTCTAGCCATGCGAGCCACCTGGAGCCTGCTGGGTTCTGGGACACAGGCCAGCCCTAGCCTGCTCCAAGCCGGGCACCCCGCTCCAGGGGCCCGAACCTTCAACCCAGGATTTTCGGCACAGGGAGCAAGAGTACAGACACCACACACAGTGACACACTCTGGGCACCACAGTGCACAGGCAGCAGGCACAGTCATGAGAGAGCCCGGGGAAGGGGCTGGTGGACCTGACTCCTGCTGCAGGCTGTGGGCCGTCCACACTTTTTTTCTATTGCTGTCAGGCTGGACATTTCAATCTTTCCAAACTAGCAACCAGGCAAAAACATACTCGATTTTGGCCAACTCAGAACACGGAGGGAAGTGAATACCACCCAAGGAGTGGGCGGCACCACTTCTGCACAAGCGTGCTGTGCTCCATCCCTCTGCACCCCCACACCTGACCGTACTAATACACTGGTCACTGCAAGGGTGGACCCCATGGTGCACAGGTGGGTGGCAGATGTCCCCACAGTACCGGGAGGAAAGTCAGCAAGGTTGGGGGGCTGCAAGGGTTCGGGTTTGGATGCTGGACACAAGAGGGTCAACATCGATGCGAGAGCCAGGAAAGCTTGCATGGTGGAGACACAGATGTCACCTGAAACACTCTGGGGACAGGATCATCGCTTCCCTCAAGGAAGGGAAAGGCTTCCTGAAAGGGACAAAGGTATCACCACAGCCCATGGCCCCCGGCCCTGTTCCCTAAGGATAAAGCTGAAGAACACAGGGCCAAGGCCACACAGGGATGTAACTTATTTCCAAAAGCAAATGAAACAGCCAGTGTGTACAACTGGGGCACGCAAGGCCACAAATCTGAGGCGAGTCCTCCTGATGTGCTGAGAGCTCAGAAAACTTCAAGACAGAACGAGACATGGGAAAGCACTGGCCCTAAAACCTGCCCCTTCCTCAGGCCTCCTAGGGACATAGCCTCCTCCCATGTCCTGGTTGGGTCCAGAACACAGAGCAACACTTCTGGGAGACACCCGGGTTAGGCACTGTCCAAACTCAAAGACCCAATGGAAACACAGGCATCTGAAATGAATATACACTTTTCAGGAGAGGAGGTATACATGGCCAGGGTGTCAGTGGCCATCGAGAATGCAAGTGAAGACAACACTGAGATTCCGCTCAGCCCAGAGAGACTGAAGTCAATCACTGAGCCACAGCAAATGGCGGTGGGGCTGTGGAGAAAGAGGAAGCCTTCTCCACTGTCAGCGGGAGTGCGGACTTGTGCGACCATTGGAAAATCAGTGTGGAAACGTCTCAAAACACTAGGACCAAGGCCAGGCACAGTGGCACATGCCTGTAATCCCAGCACTTAGGAGGCTGAGGCAGGAGGATCACTGTGAGTTTGAGGTCAGCCTGGGCTACAAAGTCATACTGAACTGCGTAGTGAGACCTTGTCTCAAAAAGACAAAAAAAAAAAAAACAAACTAGCACTAGGGGTTCCATTTGACCTAGCTATTCCCTTTCTGGTTATCTTCCCAGAATTAAAAGCATCATACCACATTGATATATGCAGTTTGTGACAGCTAAATCTTGGAAACACTCAAAATGCCCATCAGCTGAAGAATGGATAAAGATGGGGTTTTTACATATAGTTGATACTGTGCCATAAAGAAGGACAAAGCTGGGACACTCTCCCTCAAGGCCATGCTCTTAAGTGAAATAAATTGGACATATACACATGTAAATATCACATTTCTCAGGTGAGAAACCTCAAGTACCACTAAGGCGCCAGATAGAGGATGGAGATCAGGAGTATTGAAACTTATTATTCAAACAGGAAGGGGAACAAAGAAAGGGAAGGGGGAGGAGAGGACAGGAAAAGGGATTTTTCTTTAAAAAGGAAAGGAGAAATGGAAATAGGGCTTTTGTAAATGGAAGGGGGACAAACAATTGAGCTGGGATATACATGGACCCACTCCCATAATGAACATGACCATTATGGGCGTCAGTAACAGAAATAAATTACATGAAAAAATAAACAAGACAGCTTCGAGTCACTGTAGCCAGGTGGAGGCACAGGACAGGTTGTGTGTTTCTGGGGGGAGGGGTGCTGTCCCAGCACTGCATCTCTGCAGAGGAGGCCCAGACAGGCAGGGACCTCTGAGAAACCAACAGGAAGAGCAGGCATATCCCATGCAGGCACCTGCTGGGGCAGAGGCATGGCCGCCCTAACAGATAGGGGCTCCCCAGCTGTGGTTTCCAGGGAGCTCTGGGGCAGCCTCACCCCTGGGGGTTAAGCAGGAGCCACCGCCCCGTTCATGCAGACTCCTGACCTGAGCTGGTGGCAGAGCCAGGCTACCTGCCTCAGGTGCCCAGCTGTGGCCTGCTGTGCTGTCAGTGTGACAGCTCTGGCAGGCATCGCTGTTGGCACGCAGGTCCTGGCTGGCTCCTCAGGGACTCATACCACCCCAGAGGCATTTCCCCAGTGCCACTGGGGACACTGCCCCATCTTAGTCAGGCACAGGATCACGGCCCCCAGGATGCAGCTCAGAGAGGCATACAGGTTCCTGGGCTGCCATGGAGCCAGCCAAGGGGCTCTTGGGTTTGCTGGGCCCCAGGACCCCAAATTTCAGGGCACCTTTCATCCGAAAGGAAGTCGTACTGTCATTGTCCATGTGACACAGCAAGGCTCCTGCTTTGGGGCCACACAGGACTTCACAGTCCATGTCTCAGGGTCCACCTGGCTGCCATGGAAGGCTGTTGTGCCATGTGGGCAGAGACAAGCCAGGACCCAAGGCTGTGGAGGTTGTGGGTCCAGGTGTGCAGCAGGGCTGCACGGCACAGCCTCCATCAAGTGGTCCCTCTTCCCAGGGAGACTCTTATGCTCTCCCTTGCTGTGGTCCTGAGAGCTCTGTGATCCTCAGGGGCCTGGCTGCTATGTGGGAGGCCATGGAGAATGTGGGCGGGGCTGACCCAAATGTAGATTCCAGAACAAGTACCGAAGCCCGCTCCATCCTCCCCAGCAAGGAGAGAAGCCAAAGTCTTTCCAGGAGACAGGCACAGCCACCACTGGTGGGCCCACCGGTCCTGCTGGGCAGTGATGAGGTTGCGTCGCAGGGGGAGGTCACAGCCCACCCCCCATGTCCTCTTGCTGGTCATCCACGTTGGCTCCTGCCCTGCTGTCTCCCTGTTACCGTGGGACCCTTCCCACTCAGCACCGAAGCACCTGTGCATGTACAGGCCTCCTGCAGGGTGAGACTGATGCTTACCCAACTCTATCCTGGGGGCCCTTAATGCAGCGCTTGGGGACACAGGGTGAGCAAGCTCAGGCCCTTAGCTCTCCTGGGACCACAGGGCCAGGAAGCAGAAGCAGGAAAGGAAGATAGGGAGGCTGAATTCCTCTGTGTGCTAGGAACCTGCCAAGGACCTCAAAGGTACTGAGGTAGAGTTGTGTGTCCCCTGGCCCCAAGTTTGGACATGGAGCCCCACCCCTGCTGAGGCTCCCGTCTCAAGGACAGCTGAGGCTCTTCCCAAGACACTGTGACCAGGGACTCAAACCCAGCGTTTTCTTTCTCCCCTGCCACCCTATCCACAGGAAGGCCAGGCTCCCTGGAACCGCTCGGGCAGGGTAAAGACAGCCCAACTCCATACAGGGCTGCCCTGTTGGACCCCGAGACAGGGGGGCAGACAGGCAGAAGCTGGGGAGATGAGGCCAGTTGGGAAGGGCAATGGTGTCCAGAGGCAGGGAGTCCAGGTTTGGCCGCAGCTGGGAGAGGGAGAGACGTGAGGGACATTAACCCGGAGGACCAGGGCGCTGTGAATTATTCATCTCTGTGCTCGAGGAGGCTCCCATGAATCTTTGATGAACTGTCAAGAGCATGAAGAGTCCAGGCAGTGGGCTGGGCTGCCGGGAAAGGCTTGAGAGAGGGCGGGCGGTAAGGGACTAACAAGCCAGGACGGGAAGGATGAGGCCTACAGAATACAGAGCAGGAGGGTTGCAAGCCCAGACAGGGAACAGATGTCCAAGATTCAGTGAGATAACGCCTATCAGCATGTTGTGTGGACACCGAAATCAAGTAGCTTTCCAAAAGACAAGATAGTGACTGTGTCTTGCTAACTTACACAGCAGGCCCTAAAGTCTTGGGCTCAAGTGATCCTCCTGCCTCAGCTTCCCTTAGAGGTGAGACTACAGGCTGGGGACACTTTGGACAGGGAAGTGAGCTAAGTGACTTTCATTATTTATTACAGTTTGAGAGGTTCCAACTGCTACAGATAACAATGGCTGCACCCCGGGGAGAGGGGGTCCTCACTGCTGAGATTCCTCATGCTTAGAAACTGAAAATCCCCTCCCCACACTGCAGTGTCCCCGAGTGACCTCTCAGCACAGCAGCCCTGTCCCTCGCGCCCACCCCACCCATCTTGGGCAGAAGTCTCCCCAAAGGTCAAAGCCTCCTGCTCCACAGCCCACAGAGACCTGGATCACAGCTGGGAAGGTCCCCTCTGCTTCCCAAGCCCTCCCGTGCCTGTTCCTGTCTTAACTCACACACTGGGACTCCTGGAAAGGGGAAGCCAGGACTCAGGGTTCCACACGAGGCAGGGTGCATCAAGGAAGGGGCACAGTGCAGCCATGGAAGCTGACACCCCATATAGGCCAGAGGGATGGGGTGTCGTCACCACCAAGATGGGTCCTGAGACCCGAGCTCTGTGTGAGCACCTGCCGGGAGCATAGTCTCACCGGAAGTACCCCGTGCTCCCGCATCGTGACAAACAGCTCTTCTTTCTCCTCTTTCTTGGACACAGCAACTGGAGGTGAAGAAAGATCTGCATTTGGCTCACGTTTGTTTAAACACAGTCATGTCGGATTACGGTACTCACAGGTTTTAATAAACAGATCAGAGGTCTCAAGGTCCCAAGGCCGAGGTCAGACCAGACCTTGCTCCCATGGAGGCCATGCGGCAGCCAAGGCCTCCCCTTGGAAGGCAGGGATCTTGGAGGCAGGACAGTGCTCGTGTCCTGCTACATGTCAACTGGCCTGAAATGAACTGAAAGTTTTTTCTTCCACATTTCTTTTCGTGTCTTTTACACTGCAGTTGTTTCCTAATCCTCACTCTCTGGAGGTTTGACAGTGTTTCACGGCAACGATCTAGTGTCTGGACTTGTGGTCTCTTGGGTCACCAGCATCCGTAGACACTGGTTCGCATCAGGAAGGGGCTGAGACCTCAACGCTGCACACCCATGCCCAAAGATCGAGCCCCTTCTGCTGCCCCCAGGCTGTGTGTGGTCCTCAGAGATTCTGTCCCAGCTTCCCTGCACCAGCACAAGCAACTCTTAAGTGGCAGGAGGTCCCGCCACCAAGCTGCCAGGCACGGTCAGAAATGACTGTAATGTTCCGAGCTCAAATCAGAGAGGGGCGCATCAAAATCTCCCTCAGTGCACAGGCTTTCGGGGTGTTCACACAAAGGTCACATCAATGGGGAGAACCTCTGCGACCACGAGGACGTGAGTTAAGGACTGGGTGTCCAGTGCAGTGGACAGCCCGGACGTCCAGGTGAGGAGACACCTGTGACCATGCAGAGCAGGCAGCCAAGCCTGCCACACAGGTTTCTTGGGAGGGAGCTTGCTGGAGAGAGCCTGTAGGGTAGGAACCTCCTAAACATAAGACTCCAGCCCGGCAGGAGCCAGGATGGCCTGCAAAGCCCTAGCTGCACGCCAGCAGTGCCAGCATGCTCAGCAGCATCCAACAGGTAAAACCGGACGGGCGGAAAGCAGGTGGGCAATGTGGACACTGCTGACCTTTGGTGGGGCCACGTGGACACAGCTGGCCCTCCCCTCCATCTGGGCCAGTCAGAACCTGTTCTCCACAGATACCTGTCCCCTAAGCAGCCTCGGTCTCCATGACAAGACCAAGAGGTCAAGGACTGGACTTGTAGGTAGACAGCCAGCTCTGCAGACAGGCCAGGGTCTAGGCCTCCAGGAGGAACCTGGCCAGTCCGATCCTCCTTTCCGCCTCCCAGCGCACCTTCCCCGAGCATTCTGCTGGACCTGAACCCTCTCTGCACCACTGCCAAGAGCAAACCTTTTTTCTCTCTTCACAGTCGTCCAACTGGGCCTGGGGTTCCAGCCGCCCCTTCCTTCGGGAAGGGATTTCAGACTGCGGAAGGGGGTGCAGTGCAGTTGCTAAGGGGGGCCAGAGGGCGTCCCCGGGTCCACCTAGGGGCGTGCACAGGATCACAAACAGTGGGCCATTGAGCAGACCGCCCCGGAGTAACCTCGGATTCGGCCGACCTGCCGCCAAGGCACCGCAAAATCCGCTAGGCTGCCGCACAGGACCCTCGGGACCCGGGCTCTGCGGGAGGCTGACCCAACGCGGTTTGAGGAGTACGGAGCGCCTGGGAACCCGAGTCGCCCGGGCAGTGCCAAGGCAGCCAGCTGGACATCGCGGAATGCTGTCCGAGCAGGAGCGAGCCCGTCGGGGCCGGTTCCGTCTCTGTGTGCTACGCTAGTGCGGAGCGTGCGGCCCCACGCCGCGTCCCCGGTGGGCTCGCAACCTTTGCGCCCGAGCCCCTACGCGCAGAGCCGGCGGCGGGGGCGCGCGTGCAGCGTAGGGTCGCCCTGCTCGCCCCGGCGGCCCGCGGCCCCACGCTCCTCCGCCTCTTCCACCTCCTCCCGCGCCCGCCGCGCCGCCCCTACCGTGGCATCCTCGCCCGCGTAGTGCGCGATGACCCGGTGGCCCCCCGGGTGGCGCTTGGACCACGCGGTGACGTTGTAGACCTTGCGGTCCACGACCAGCCACTTGTCGGTGCGCAGGTTGTGCCGCTGGATCTCTTCCCAGCGAAAAGTGGGCATGGGCGCCTCGCGCTCCGCCGCGCCCTCGCCCTGGTTGCCCCCCTTGCCCATGCCGCCGCCGCCGCCCGCAGCCCGGCTCCCGCCGCGTGTGCCCGCGCCTCGCGCCGCTTTTGTCTCCGCCACCACCTCCTCCTCCTCCCGCCCCCTCCTCCCCGCCCCTCGGCGCGCGGAACGGAGCCGGCTTGCGCCCCGCGTCCCCGCGTCCCCGCGCCCGCGCCCGCGCCGCGCCCCGCCCTCGGCCCGCCCGCCGCCGCCGTTGCAGCTGCTGCCCGGGAGCGCGGAGCCCAGGCCCTGTCGTCCCCACCCCTGCCCCGGGCCGCGCATCCCCTCCGCGGCGGGGATCAGCAGAGCGGCTGCACCAATCAGCGCGCGCCGCCCCACCGGCCATTGGCCCAGCCTGATCTTTCGAAGGCGCGCGCGCCCGGGACCCCTCCGCCCACCCCCTTGGCCGGCGGCGGCGACGTGTCCGGCCGCCCAGGCCTATCCCTGCGCTTTGGCAGCCAGGAGCCCGGGGGCATGACCGGGCCCGCACTTGACGCCCTGGCCACAAAGAGCGTGCTACGTCTGCATGGGGCGCATTGTCTGGTGCGGCCCAGGACCCTCCGGGTCTGATCCAAACAGTTTGTGACCACGCTGGGATCTGCGAGGGGGCGGGGCTCCAGGATCGGTCCTTGTCCCTCAGGAAGCCCACAGCTTGGGAAATGGGGAAGTGATACTGGACCACACGCTATTGATCAAGCGTGGTGATGGGCACAGCCCAGGAAATGCAAGCGTGTACCCAGCTGCAGGTGGTGGCCCAGCCCTGCTCTCTTAGGGTTGTGGGAGGCCAGAGTTAGAAGGATTCCAAGTTCAAGCCCAGCCTGGGCAATTTAGTGACTTAGCAAAACCTGTCCCCAAATAAAACCATTTGTACAAAAGTTGAGGATGTTGCCCAGTGCAGAGGCCCTGGCTGGTTTCAGTGCCCCTGGTATGGGCAAGGGGTGTGCTAGGACAGGGGCTGATTTTGTGGGCCCCAACCCAGCCCCAGCTGGATGGGCTATTTCCGATCAGGGTCTGGAAAGTGGCCTGGCTGGGTCAGGAAGGACACAGGACTCCTGAGAGGTGGGGATAAAGGTGGAGTGGGCTGCGGACAGGTTGCCTCCCTCTGCAGGTTAGGCAGACATGGTGATGCCAGGAGGGACCCAGGCTGGGCAGGGTCTTCCATGCTAGCCCTGGCCCATCCCATGGGATGGCACCCCCCCATCCCATGCTGCCTGCCCACCAGCTGCGTGGTGTGGGTGTTCCCCACAGATAAGGTGTGGTGGGTCACCCTGGGGCCCAGCTCCAGGGTGATGGAAATGGGAGCAGAAGCTGGGCTTTTAAAGGAGGGCTGGTGGGCGATCTTAGTTTTCTGTTCCTCAGTTTTTGATTAGTGACACATTCATACAGAGGAACTCAGTCAGGATCCTTTTTACCTCCCTTCCCTCCCCTCCTGTCTTCCCTGTCCCCACATCCCTTCCCCCCTCCTTCCCATGAGGCTCTGTCCCTTTTATACAGGGCAGCAGAGGAAGTCACTGAGGGAGGGGAGTGCTGAAGGCCAGGAGAGAGCCAGGGAAGGGCACTGATGGTGCCAATCTCACAGGCGGAGCCCCCTACAGAGGACAGGGATGAAGGCCTCCTGGAGGAGGCTTGGGGCTCTGACCAGGTCCCTGGAGGAAGCGAACTCCAGGAGAAGCCAGGCTGGGGCCCTCAAGGCTCTAACAGAGAGGAGGGAAGCCTGGCTCACACCAGCCAACGCAGGCTTCCTCTGTCCCTTCCTGTCCTGCTACTGACTGTGCTCTGCTTGGGCAGCTGATGGGACTGTCCGCTCCTGGGAAGAGGCCCTGAAGACACTATGGCTTCTTCCAACCCTGAGGAATCCACCATCTGCTAGGCCAGCAGTGCCAAGGACGGCAACTTCCTGGGACCGGGCCAGGACTCGTTATCACTGATGTTTATCAAGGACAGAAGATGCCAGCTTGGTGGCAGTGAGCCCAGCCTGTCGAATAGAGCCCAGTGGGGTGAAAGGCTGGTGGGAGAGAGGCATAGTAGGATCTGGTGGTGGAATCAGGTGCCAGAGCAGCTGGAGGGACCAGGCCTCCTTGTTCTGCCTCCCTGGGGGCCTGCCTCCTCTTTGCCTTGCAGTTCCGAGGACTGAACTGAAGGCCTTCACACCCAGCTGTGTCCCTGACATTTATTTATTTACATTCGTTGAGACAGAGGCTCACCAAGTCTCTAAAAGGCCTGTGTTGCAACCAGTGTGCAGTCCTCCTGCCTCAGCCTCCAGAGTGCTGAGGTGGCCACTGCAAACCTGACGCATTGGAGGGGCAGTGGAAGTGGGTCACACCCAAGGGCAGGGAGAGGGCCCAGGGTTGGAGACTGGGCCTCCCTTCCCCCGGAGTTGAAGAGGTGCAGCGTCTTCTTAGTGGTCACCTTGGCTGCATCTTCTAAGTCATTTCTCCTGCCTCTCCTGTGGCCCCGTTGTGGAATTTCATGAATGGTCAGCCCTTGCCAACTCTAACTCAGCTTTCCATGACTGCAAAAGCTAGCAGAGAAAATCGGCTTATAAGGAGAAAGGACTGATTCGGACAGGGTTTCAGAGGTCCCAGGCCGCGATTAGGGGCTGCACAGAAGCTAGGGAGGACTAGAAGGGCGTGGCCCCGCCCCCTCTGAGGCCTGACTCCTGATGACCTGCAGCCTTTCCACAGGCCCCGCCCCTTAAAGTGCTAGATTCCTCCAACCGTCCCCACCGGACCAAGCCTAGGACGGTACAGGGACCCTCCACTGACTCACTGTTTAGGTTCGCCAAGGACTGTGGAATCCAGTACAGTGTCCAGGGCAGGATCACCTCCTGTGCACGGTGACCCTTGTCATCCTGTGGGTGACCTCAGCTGTCACCACAAGGCAGGAGACAGGATCGCCCCTCACCTTTGCCTGGGAAGCCCCGGGGGCATGGGGAGCATAGCCCTCCAGCCATGCATGACCAGAAGGTGCCCTCTCACCCTCCTCCTCAGGCCTCCTGGACCCTCTGCAGAGGCCAGCAGCCATGACCTCCCCCATGGCCTAGCTCCTCAAAGCGTGGCCCAGTACTGTGCTCTTTTCCACCATCTCTGTTTCTCACACAGGCCCCTGGTTGGGAAAGGGTAGAGGGGCTGGGAGAGCAACCCCTTCATCAGGACATCAGGAAATGCGATATGAAGTAAGGAGGGATGCTGTCTATACCCAGAGACCGTGCAGGACAAGCAGCAAACCGTAGGGGCCCTCCAAAGGAGGAGTTCAAATGTTTGTTGTTTTCATGCTATTTAGGTTTCCATTCATTAAAAAGGCAGGGTGGCACAGGCCTGTAATCCTAGCACTTGGGAGGCTGAGGCAGGAGGATCGATGGGGGTTCAAGGCCAGTATGGGCCACATAGTGAGTTCCAAGCTAGCCTGAACTACATAGCAAGACCGTGTCTCAAAAACACAAAACAAAAGTAATAATGAGCCTTTACTTTTACAATATTCCTGAAGCTGCTGCCATTTGAAACACACAGATTCATCTGTGCCTGTTTATATATCCGCATGTAGACTGAGCAGGTTCTGTTCCTGCTCCAGATTACGGTTGTGTCTTTCTGTCACTTTTTCTCCCTGTTGAGCTACAGTCTGATCCTCTTATGTAAAATTGACAGGGTCTTCATACCAAGCTGGCCTCAAAGTCACTATATGACCCAGGTTAGCCTTGAACCCAAGATCCTCCCGCCTCAGCTTCCCAAGTATGTAACGGGATCACACACAGGTGTACAATGCTAGGCCTGGCTTGCAAACCAGCCTTTGGTTTTCACATCAACCATGCTCATATAATACTAGCCTGGAGACTGGAATGTTTACCATTTAATTAGTTTTGTTCATTTTCCTGTCTTGCTAACCGTGATGTTTAATTCCACATGTTGGTTGCACTGTTTCTTACTGGATTTAGAAAACTCAGTAATTGTGCTGTGATTACCCAGGTGTTACAGGACAAGGTTGGGTGAGAGAGGAAGGCATGCAGGCGGTGAGGGTTTCCTGGGGCTGAGGCACAGCTAGCTTGCCTGAGCCCTGGCTTCCAGGCCCTGCACTAGGGAGTGGAAAAGGACAGAGTGCTGTGGAAGACATGATCTTGTATTCTTATTTTTGTGCAGAACCGTGGTAGGAATCCTCCGCACAGTCTGATCAGGAAGCCAGATGTCTTAGTCACCGTCCTCCTTGCTGGGATGCCTGTGGCTTGAAGGAGGAGAGGTTTATTTTGGCTTGTGTTTTGGTCTCTGGTTTCTCGGTTCCAAAGAGGAAGCCACGTGGCAAAGGGACTGGCGGAGGAGAGGGGCTCACTTCCTGGTGGCCAGGAAGCTGAGTAGGAAGGATAAACCCTCCTGGGTCAACACCTCACTGTGGACCAGGCCCTGCCCCCAGCCGGGGGTCAGTCACAAACTGTCATAACCCAGCACCTTGCCAAAGCCCACCTATGGGCACCTGAGGGACATCTGATGACTGAAGACAGCTGTCATCTTGCAGAAGGACATGCTCTGGGTCCCTGATCTGAGGCACAGGAGTGACAAAGGCTGGGCTGCAGGAAGTCACATGTGCTTGCTAAGTCCCAGAGCTCGGAGGAACAAAGCCTCACGGGGACTGGAGAAGGTAAGGAATACAGCCTCACCCATTTCATCCGAGAGACAAAGGCACAAAGGTGAGAAGGCATGAGAGGGGCTGTTCCCGGGCCAGGGCCAGGCTAGTGGCCAGACCATCTTTGGTCCACAGGGCTGGTGCAACCCTGTGTGTTTCTAGTTGTCCCCTCACTCCTGTTGTCTCTCTTGACCCAGTCACCTCACCTCCAGCCTATATAATGGAGTTAGCACCCACCTTGCAGAAGAGGAGGCTGATGGTTACAAAGAAAGCTAAATGCCCTGAATATCTGCCTGGGAACCCACCTGCCTGGTGAGGGGCCCACAGATGCTGTTCCCTCGCTCGTTTGTTTCTGAGTTAGGGTTTTGCTGTGCAGCTTGGATTGGGCCTGAATTTGCTGCGTCACTTTTGGGTGCTGGGATCCTGGGCCACTGCCATCACTGTCACAATCTCCTCAGTGACTCTCAGGGACATCGTGCACCAGGCTCTGAGTCCCACTCTCGGAGTCCCGATGGCCGTGCATTTTCCAGTGGTGGGGGAGGAGCTGGGCAGCTTTCCTGTGTGTGCTCTGCCACCCACAGCCTTTCCACCAACTTGCACTGCCCAGATGGGACAGTGTCCACACAGCAGGCGGATGGTGACAGCCAAAGGCACACAGCAGGTCCTCTCTGAGCTCTGAAAGTCTGGACTATGGAGTAAATGAGGCAGGCATGCCCCTAGATCAAGCATCCCCCACTCCCCACCAGCAGGACCTGGCCACTTACTAGCTCAAGGGTCCATTTTCCTATGCAAAACCCTGGGATGGTGATCCTGCCCGCAGATCTCTGGGGCTGCCCTGGCCACCATCAAAGCACTTTTGTCTTTTTTGAGACAAGGTCTCACCTATGTAGCCCCAGGTTGGCCTCACACTTGTGCCAATCTTCCTGCCTCCTGGCCGGGGAAGCACTTTTAGTGTTGTTAGCAGAGCCAGTTAAACCACACGACCAAGTTTTGCTGCAGGTGGGACCTGCGCACAGAGCCTGCAGCTGGGGCTGGTGGTGGCTTAACATTCCCTTTGCTTCTCTGATTCACCCTACCAGATGCCGAGGTCCTGAAGTTGTGGCCGCCTGGCCTGGATGGGCTATCTGTGTCTCTGGCTTCAGTTCCAGGCTCTTTGCCCAAGGTCCTGCAGGACTCGCCAAGCAAGATAAAGATGACACTACCACGCCTCCGGGGCTGCTCTGCGTGCCACAGGGGCGCAGGTGTCCCCTCCGAGCCCAGTGGGTGCATGACCCATGCCAGGAGGCTTGGGCCAGCACTGGGAGTGCCTAGGAGCCCCAGGTATTCCAGGCTAGAGAGGAGCAGGGGCAGGTGGGGCCACCAGAAGCTGAGGTAAGGCCAGGGGCAGGGGTGACAGTGCATGCAGGGTAGCCTGGGGAAGACAGGGAAACTGAGGCCCAGAGATGGGCTAGGCCCTAGTTTCATGGGCACTGGCACATGTGGGGCCTGTTCAGAGCAAAGTGGCCCCGAGTCAGTCACTCTCCTCTTGGAGACGCTTGTGAGTCCTAGGAAAACGCACTGTATCACTGAGACACAGGCTGCGAGGGCACGGCCTGCATGACACCTAAGCAGGTGAGAAGCGCTCAGTGCCTGTGATGCTTCTGGCTCTCTCCTCCTTGGTTCAGGCTTCTGGTCACCCTGACTCTCCTCATCTGTGACTCCAGGTGTTGAGCATTCAGCCACTGGCTCTGTGGTCCTCTGGGATTCATGCTCAGCAGACTATGGCTCTTCCACCAGGAAGAGCGACCTCCAAGGCGGAGAGGAGCACTGTGGGCATTTGGGCCCCTGCCGCTCCAGTGAGATCACCAAGTAGCTTCCATAGTCCCCTGGGCAATGCACTTTCTCCCCGTGGGCATTGCTCCCGTCTACCATCTGCACCTTCCACTCGGAGCTCCAGGTAGCCTCACTTTCCGGCTGTCCTCTCCACCAGCAGGTGGAAGGAGCCTGTCCCAGGCCTGAGAGCCCTTTCTGCCTCCCCTCTCGCAGCTTCTCTGTACTGCTCCTCTGGGTCCCAAGCATCTGAAAGACTCCAGTTCTCCTCAAGGCCCACCAAGCACCAGCACTTTGTGGAAAAGGCCCGAGGCTCACCACATGCTGGACCCTCACCTGGGAGTAAGGGAGAGCTCGGGAAGGGAGGCTGCAGGGCTGGGGACTTCCCAAAGCACAGTGGCTGCCACAGAGGTCACAGTGTCCAGCCAGAAGTTCACCACGTCCCAGCCTGCACGCCGTAAGCAGCCCGCCCTCTGCCTTCCACCTGGCCCCAGGGTGCTGTGGTGGCCTGCTCAGTGTCTGGTGTCCACTGAGCCACATGGACTGCCCCAAACTGCATTTCCCAGAACTCTACCTGGAGCTCTGGGGTAGGCAGCCGCAGGGGCCCCTATGAGAGGTTTGTTGGGCAGAAGTGAGGCTTGGCCATCCTGCTCTAGGGACTCATGCAAGCTAGAAGTGACCTAGCTTGTAGATTGGTATGGCTGAGGGCCTGCAGTTCCCAGCTATCTTTGCTCAGCACGTGCGGCTGGGGGGGGGGCGCCAGATTGCCCCACTGGTCCCCTGTGTCCTGGAGATGGAGGCCTGGGAGCCAGACGCATTGCCAACATGTACTACGCCCCCAGACCTTCAGCGACCTCAGCCCCACAGGGACATAGAGACAAACTCCTCTCAAACTAAGGGATGCACCCCCATTATCTTAGGCAAACCCTTCTCCTCCTGTCCTCCGCGAACAGAGGTCCTCGGGTCTTCCACTGTGACCCCAGGTGGGTGACAGGGGGTGGCTGTGTGGATTCCCTAGTTGGTCAGATGCATGAGTGACAAAGTAGGGGCTGGGACCCTGCGGCAGAATGGGCTTGGTGACCACAAGGCCGCTGAAGCCGCTCCATTACCTTGTCTGATGTCTGTCCGCTGAGAGACCTTTGGGTTATGATCACCAGCAGGCTCAGCCAAACAAGTGCGTGTGGTTTCTCTTCCTGTTAGTCCCAAGGGCAAAGGCCCTGGGGTTCGGGCGGCAGGGAAGGGGGACAAGGCCTTTACGCCTCACTCTTCTAGCTGTCCGACAGGCCGAGCTCTTTGGGGTCTCGTTTCCAATTTGCCACAGGTGGACTTGTTCATAAAAGGTAATAGAGAGAGAACTCTGTGGGAAAATGACATGTAATCTTATGTGCAGGGAGAAAAGAACGTCACCAGACTCCAGGAGGCGATAAACAGGGTTAGAAAAGAGGTGACATAACGCAGTGAAGTGGATTCGCTCCGCTGCTCTCTGTGCCCTGGAGAAACGGTATCCCTTGACAGTTTATGGAATATTTCAAAATAACCAGGAGAGTGCAGGGGGTCTGGCACGCAGAATGACGCACATTCAGCAATGTGGAAATGCAATTACTTGGATTTCACCACAACACTGCAGACTGGTATTATGGTATGTACCCCATAGAGATTTATAAATACCATGTGTCAAATTTTAAATGTTTTTCTTTATTGTGGTGGGGGGCTCACTCAGGCTAGGCAAGTGCTCTATCCCAGCAGAACTTTCTGTTATTTTGCTCAGTTGCCCAGCACAGCCCGGAACCTGCAATCCTCTTGTCTCAACCTCCACCTCCAGAGTAGCTGGGATCACAAGCGTGGGATACCAGGCCCAGTTTAAAGAAAAATGAAAGTACAGTAAGGAATGAAGACATCTTCTGTCCATGTAGCAGCTCCTTTTAGTGAATGTGGTCAGTATGCACTGTCATCACAGACTAATAAAAATAAAATGCAAAAATAAATTTTAAAGAATTACAGCCCTTGTAAATTTTTTTGTATTAGTGGTTTTTATCCCCTGCAGGCTAAGAAAAAGAGAATGTAAATTACTAATGTGAAAAATTACTTTTGAGACAAGTCTCACTGTGCAGTCACGCTGACCTTGAACTTGTGGCAATCCCTTGTCTCAGCCTCCCAAGTGCTGGGAGTACAGCCGCGTGCCACCACGTGTGCTCAAAATTGAAAAGGCAGTCACAACCATAGATCTCATGGACACTAAAATAATAAAGAAAAATTAAGAACAAAAAACACCCTAGCCAATTTTTAAATTTTTTTTTGTCTTTTTCCTTTTTATCAGTACTGGTTATCGAACTCACGACTGCCTGCTTACAAGGCAGGCGCTTATGCTGCTGAGCTAAATCCCCAGCCCCTATCCTAGCCAATTTTTAAGAACACACACAGACATACCGCATCCTTTGCTGGAACCTTCCTGAGCACATAGTCTCTGTGCCAGCACATTCGCACCCCCGGCAGGGTGCCAGGAGTCTGGGTGAGTGTCATGTAGCCCCCACTTTGAGCAAGCAGGTCCCCGAGGTGCAGCCCCAGGGGTCAGGGTTGGCTTCAGCTGCCCGAGCTGGGCAGGCCAGAGGACTTGCCCAGGGCGCATTGGGAGTCCAGGGTGTGGAGACAGAGTGGTGGGATCTCAGGAGCCACTGGTCACCAGAGAGGGCTCGTAGCTGCCTTTGGGCCCAACACAGATGGGGATGCAGAGGGCAGGCTACAACAGTCTACATGCTGCCTCTAGGAACTGGGCTTGGGCAGGGTGGGGTCCCTAGGAACCCTGTGTCCCACCATGGTTTTCCTGTGTCCTCAGTGCGGCTGGGACATCCTGGGGCCCCAATACCCTGGGGTGACGTTGATCGGATACCATGCATCCTCACAGAACCTGTCATACTGCCCGGGGGACAGACAACTGCAGTTTCTAGATCTGGGCTCATGTAGTAGCGTGGATTTGCTCTCCGAGGTTTCAGTTTCCTATAATCAGCCTGGGTCCAAAAATATATGGGAAATTCCAGAAGGAAACAATTCCTATGTTTTAAATAGCTTTCACTGCCGTGCAGTGTTACGGTGCTATGTGACTGCAGTTAGGATTGCTAACCTCTTGCTGGGCCTGCTTTGCCTGCCAAACTTTCCCATGGATGTGTGCCTGCAGGACATGTCACAGCCTAGGGGCTTGGTGCTGCCTGGAGCTGCAGCCTCAAAGTGCTTGGAATGCAGGGGAGACCCCATGCACGAGGTTTCCACGTTTGTGGGGTCTCCCCACTCCTTGGTGCAGACACACAGAGGCACTGCCATCCTGCTTCTGCATAGCGGGCACCTCCAGCTGGTGCTATCTGTCGCCAGGTGCTGTGAGAGCCCCCTGTGCCCCAGGCTGGTGAGACCCATATTGTCCAAGTTGGAGGAGCTTCAGACCCTCTCATGGCTACAGCTCTCATACCTGGGGTAGCTTTTGGGCTCCACCATCCTCACTCGAGCCGCTGGTGCCTAGGGTCCTGCAGGAGGGTGCCTGGAGGTCAGCGCAGGCTGTGGTGGGCGCAGCCTTGTACTCCAGGCCTGTGCTCACTGGCTTCCAGGATTGCAGCTCCAACTTGTGTTGGCTGAACCCAACCGGCCTCCCCTCTTGCCTTGGAACCAACCTCACAGACAGCCTGGCAGCAGCTGCACCCCCAAACTGCCTCCCCACTCTCTCACAGGCCAGGTCCTCCAGCTCTGGCTGGGACTTTCTTGATGGAGCACAGCATGGTTTGTGGGATCATATCAAGTGTGCCCATAGGCTTGGGGCGGTCAAGCTCCTGTCTGCTCCTGGCAGTGGCCCAAGTCACCACCTCTGCCTCTAGTGTTCCTCCTTGCCCCTGCCCACGCCTGGCACAGAACTCAGACGCCAGCATTTCCCGTGCCGCCCTCGATCTCCACAGGCCTCCACCACCCTCTGTGTTCCCTTCTAGCACATAGTTGTGGTGCTTCGTAATAGCCGGTTTGCAGCTTTATTATTGCCTGTCTTTCCACTAGACTGTTAATTTCTCAAAGGCGGGACCACATCCATCTCGTCTGCTGCTATACACTCAGCCCTGGCACAGTGCCGCAGACACACACAGTGCTGGTGATGGGCAGGGAGTAAACGTGGCACGTGGGACCCCACACTGTGCCATGGGAAAGGACTGTGGGTCTCACACACCTCTCTGTCCCCTGCCCAGCACTGCCACCAAGGACTCCCACGGTCAGGTGGCGAGAAGGGGCTGCCCTGGGGAAGGCTCAGCCCTGGGGACCCTGAGCTTCAGGCAGCTTAACCACTTAGGCAATGCTCTAGGGCAGAAAGTGGAGAGAAAGAAGAGCACTGACTGGTGCATACCAGGGCCTGGGAGGTGCATGGTCCGGAAGCAGTATGTAATTGAAAGTCATTCACTGAAAACTCATCTCTTCTGCCACAGAGAAGCTCCCCCGCTTCTGCTGCATTAGGGATCCGTGACAAATACTGCTTGCTGGGTTAAGGTGAGTGCCCATGGTAACATGAGTAACCCGCCAGGTATACCTCCTGGTATTCATTCCCTTGACAAAAGCCCAAGGTAACATCACTGAATCACACAGAAAGCAAGGCCAGGAGGTCTTGGCCGGGGAGGAAGGAGGGTAGAGCTTGGATTCCCTGCTTCCTTTCTTGGGCTCACAGGCCTTGCTGTGACCTGTGAGGTTTGACAAACTTGTTTGTTCCAGATCTTCAGAGCTATCTCCTGGGTCCAGATCCCTGAGTGCGAAAGGTCCTTGTAACTAGGTGAGTCCAGATAAAGGTCACTCCACTGTGAACATGGCCTGAAAAGCAGACTTTCCGAGGGTGCACCCATGTCCACTGCAAGAGAGGCACCAGGAGGCTCCTGGCTGGAGCAGGGACACTGGGATTTCACTCCTGCGTTGATCTCTCAGGACTTGGATGTTTTCAGCAGTGAGAAGCTGCTCTGAGGCATGCAGAGGGGTGATTTGGGGTGAGCTCATTTTCCCACACAGGTTTGGGGGAGGACAGGGTAGGAATGGGGCTGACTCTGCCAGCCCTCCAGACTGAAGGTTCACCTGGTTATGCCAGTTGGCTGTTGGGGTCACACAAACCCCAGTGTGGGACTTGTGAGCGGGTCCTGATGGAGGCAGCCTTTCTTTCTTTTTGAGTATGAGCCTGGGGTGACTCAGTTGGGAATGTTTGAAATAACTGGCCTTGAATTTGAAGTTGCCACAACAGAGACAACTTCAGTCTTCATGCACTGTGGTCACAGAAGGATCAGTTCAGCATCCTTGCCCCGAGCCTTCCCCCCACCCAACTTGGCCGCACATCTTCCATGGCCCCAGGTCCCATTCTCCCCTCCAGGAGTTGCGAACTTCTGTTTTAAAGTCACCACAGGTGAAGCAGGGGCCTTTGTCCCCCGTAGCTGCCTTCTCTGCAGCAGTCCCCATAGTCTCCAGAGGCGGGGGTACTGCCCACGCTGGGTACAAGGTGGTCACGGCAGTGCCTCCAGAGCTCGTGCCAGGCTTCCTGTGTTTTGCATGTCACTGCCTGGCCTTCTGAGTTCTCCCTAAGGGCTGGGCAGCAGAGCCTGTTCTTTAAAGCCCATTGTTATACGACCTCACACTTGCCAGGCAGGTGCTTATGACACTGAGCTAAATCCCCAGCACCCAAGCTGTAACTTCTAAACTGGCTTAAATCATGGCCTGAGACGGTTCCTTCTGGTAGGATTTTTAGCTGTTGTCTTATTTTTTGTGGAGGGAGGGCAGTGTCTCTCTATGCGGTTCAGGCTGGTCTTGAACTCACTATGTAGCCAGGCTGGCTTTGAACTTGCAATGATCCTCCTGCCTCAGCCTCCTGAGTGTGGGGTGACAGGCATGTGCCACCATGCCTGGCTTTAGCTGTTGTCCGGAGTGCTACCAAAACCATATCTGTTCAAAGATGAAGATGAGGTTTGGCCCCACGGCCAGGGCCAGGAGTGGTGAGTGTCCTTCCTTTCCTTTCTGCTGTTCAGAGTCCAGCCATCTTCTCTCCAAATGTTGGGGTGACCTGAGGCTCGTATGCCCACTGCCAGGCATCCACAGCTTCCACAGGTTTCTGCCTGCTCACACGAGGTTCTCATGGCCGGTCTTTGTGGGGTTTCTCAAAGCAGCAGGGTATACCTTTCTTAATCCATGAACTATGGTGGAAGGGGACACCCTAGTATCCCCCAAAATTCTTAAACACATGACCTGCAAAATGTTGGCCATTTAGGGCTGGGAATTTAGCTCAGTGGTATAAGTGCCTGCCTGGCAAGTACAGGGTCCTGAGTTCAATTCCTAGTACAAAAAAAAAAAAAAAGTTGGTTGTCAGAGCACTTTGGATTTGGGGTTTTGGGTTTTCAGATGAGGGATGCCCCTCTGGTAAATTCTATGTGGATTTTCCAAAATCCAGAAAGCCTCTCAAATTTTTTTAAAAATCAGATTTTATTGATGCATTTTAGATACACATAATGAATGCACTCACCACGGGGAATTTCTACCTGTACGTGATCTATCTCAGCTCAAATCTCACATTGCTTAAGAAGACGGTCTTGCATGATGGCGTGGTCACGCCCAGGACGGGCACTGACCTTTCTAGACAGGCTCACGCCTACTCGAACCACTTCCTGGCCAGCGATGCTGCCCTCACTGGCTCCGAGTCAGGTAGGTGGTGAAGTCCCTACTCCTCAGTCTCCCTGCCCCACCCCCTGCCACTGCTTTCTTCCCATTGTCAGGGCTCCCTTCACACCCCCCATCAACCTCACTGTGAGATCCTGAAACTGTCCTCTCTGTTGTCCTTGGAGCTTCACTGTATCCCTGGCCCTGCCCTCCCCTCCCAGCTCTGGTCCCCACTCAGCCCCCTTCATAGCTATTTCTCCGCACCGCAGTCCCTGTGGCTTCTGTTATTAACCCTCAGACATGGAGGAGGGGAGAGGCAAGCACGGGATTCTGCTCCAGCTCCCCATGGCTGTCGACACCCAGCTCAACCAGCCAGGCCACAGCGATCCCTACCCCACCTATCTTCACCAGGGTCTCGGGGATCCGGGCTCCACTGCTGCCCTGGTTCCTTTGCCCCCGCCCCCCATCCTCTCTCCCTGACTTACTCTTCCTGTCTCCTCCCATGGCTGCTGCTCCAGCCCAAGAAGCACTTACCAGTGGCAGGGACTCAGGCCTTGTGCGACACTCCTCAGAGGACTGGCAGAGGTGCCCTGGGTTCTGTGCCCCTGGACAACTTCTGCTGACTTCTCTATGCTGGCGCAGGCCACCTGCAGCCCTCGTGTTTTCACAGCCGAGGCCCAGAGGTTGACTTGCTCTCCCTGCAGAGTGAGGGCCCCAGGGTCTGGACTCCGGGCTCCTGTGCATTTGCCTTATACCCATGCTCAGATGCTGGCTGAGACCCTGGGGTTCTCAGATGCTGGCCGAGACCCCAGAAAGTGTCCTCTTCTTGAAGCCTGCTCCCCCTGCACTGGGGGCCAGCCAGCAAGGGGTCTAAGGAGCAAGACTGGCCTCCGCCTGAGCAGTACAAGATGTCCCAGCCCTGTGGCCCTGGGTCTCTAGCAAGGGGCACCCCATGTAGCTGAGCCCACTTCTGTCCCCCAGCCATTCTGCTTCCATTGCCAGGGCCACCCAGAGTCTTGGCGTAGCAGGGCTCGTGGGGAGAGACTGGGGCAATGGCAGAAGCTGGGCAGTGCCCCAGATGCTGAGGCCCAGGGTCACTGCAGTTCAGGAGTCTGCTGCCAAGGGCAGGGAGATGACACCAGTGAACCACCCGCTGCCCTTCACTTGGAACCAGGGCCTCCGATCTCGGCCCCACCTGGCACAGAAAGTGCCAACCTGGAAGAAGACACTGCCCCCACTGTTTGCCAGACTCCGTGTCTCCGGGTGGACCAGGGCCGAAGATGGAGAGGTCAGAGAGAGAGAGAAGTCGTGGGGGAAGCAGAAGGTCCAGGCGAATGGCAGAATCACCCTACAGCAGGGTGGTACCCCATTACTGCGTGGAGCTCTCTCGTCATTGACCTGTCCCCTACCGTACGTGGCCTGAGGCCTCTGTGCCCCCAGAGATCTTGGCCTGGCTTCAGGGCATCTCAAGCCATCCGCTTTCACCCCTGCAGCAATGCTGTAACTATTGCTGGCCATGCCTGTGCCACCTTCCTTCTGAGAAGCCTTGTGACAAGGGCCTGCTGTGCCCCACAGTCCTGAGCACCAGTCAGGTGGGCTTCATCTGGGTCCTACTCACGAAGCACAGGAGATGGTGACCCCATGGCTGCCCCATGTGGGCACACAGGTGAGGCACAGAGCTAGGGGGCTGGGCTGCACCACCATCCTCAAGGCCTAAGGCATCTTCTGGACAGCCCACCTGGTCCACACACAAGGCCATTGCCGGCTGCCCGGGACTGTGCCAGGCTGGCCACATGTGTTACCTTGGTTTTTAAAGGTGCAGACTCATATGGGCTCCTGAGCCAGCCAGACACACCCTGCTCTTGCAGCCTGGGGACCTGGCCCCTGCACTGTCCAAGTGTCTTGTGTGTCAGTGCCAGCTCAGTCCCAGCCTCCAACCTGCAGTCTCTGTGGTTCTCAGCTGGGTCCTCCCTCCAGAGACCAATTTATGCCTGGTCCTCTGTGGCCTTGCTTTGACCTGGGACGCAACATCATCATGGGACCCAGGTACACCGTCACTGTAAGCTTCGTTCCATGTCCTCGTCAGTGTTGGGCTTCCACCCATGTCCCCCAACCTCACCCCACCGTCCTGTTCACCCACAGCCCTGCTCGCTGGAGGACGAGGAAGGAGACATGCTTTGACCCTGTGCCTGCACCCAGGCTGACTCTCCAGGGCTAAGGGTCCTGGTACAGCTGCCATCCCCCATGCCCTCCAGAGCCCCTTCTCAGCTGGCCCATGGCTCGTGCAAGGGTCTCTCTGCCACCCACCCCAAGGCCAGCACCCTTCTGTCCTAGAGTCATTCAGACCTTGGCCCCAGCCTCCTAAGCCTGGTTAGGCCAGTGTGGCCTGGACTCTGGCCACAACTGGGGCCTCAGCTGCCCCTGCCTGGGCCAGCGGATGGAGAGGGATCTGGAAGAGATAGGGAGGAAGGGTGCTGAGGAGATTGTATCCTTCACTGCTTCAGGCTGCTGCACACTGAGAGGCGCTGGATGACTGGTGGGAGGTGGAGACCCCCCAGTGTGCACGGGGACCATCTTACACCAGCACCACTGACTCCTCCCATCTTCACTGATGCAGGGAAAAGATGACTGTGCTCTTAGGGTCATTGTCCAGTGACAGGCGAAACCATCCCCTGCCCTAGGAGGAGCTGCTGGCCTGAGTGTGACACCCTGGGGTGCCACACAGGGTGACTCAGGGAGGACAAGCAGTGGGTCAGGCAGAGGACAGTGCCTGGACAGAGGCCAGCATGAGCAGGGCGGGATAAAGGAGCAAAAGGCCTGGAAACGGTCACCCGTCCTGCGTCATGGCCCAAGCACGCAGCACTGGACATGGAGGTCCAGCAGGGAAGGAGCCAGGGCCTAGGGCTTTTTCTGTGACAGCAATTTCCAGGTGGCTGGCCCAGATCCCACTTTCCAAGCACAGAGAAACAGGAGGCACAGGAGCTGGCTAGGGCTGGACTCAGCTGGCAGTGACCAGTCACTCAAGTCTCCAGGACCTGGTACCCCTTTCCACACCAGCAGGATAGGCACATGGTCCTGTGTCCTTGCGACTGGGTGGAGAGGGGATGTCTTTCTGGGTGCCAGGAAGGGGATGTGTTTAGCAGCTCGGGACATGCAGGCTGGCAGCTCTGAGATGGGACATGGGGCAGGCTGGCCAGAGTGACAGGACTGTCCTCGCAGTGACTTCTTAGCTGTCTGGACTTGGTTTCTGCACAGCTGGGAAACACAGAGGCTTCCTTGGATTTGCAGGGTGCTCGCTGTGTGTAGAAAGTGGGCAGGTGCCAGAGATGAGGTCAGGAGGAGGGCGAGGCCTAGTCACAGCAGGGACAGAGCAACTGCTGAGTGGTGCTACAGGACCCTGGAATGGGAGCCTGGGCTGGTCCTTGGCCAGCTTGGTGCACGGTGGTGGGGGTGGTCCCCACGCCAGGGTCCTGGGGGCACCTGCTTCCCCTGGTGACTCCCCTGACCAGTGCCTTTCCCAGGCTGCCTGTCTGGGCAGAAAGGCAGGGAGGCCCCGGCTGTACATCATCAGCTGGGGCAGCCTCCTGTCTTCGGCCACCTCATTGCAATGCTCTCGAAATGACAGGAGCTGGGACTCATGCAGGTTTCACACGTTCAGAGGCCAATCACACTTTCTAGTGTGCAGTCCTGGGGAGGTGGGCAGCCTGCCCTGGGTGATGAGCACTGAGTCCCAGGCTTTCGGCTGCTGCTCCTGCTCCTGAACACACACAAGGGCTGGGCCTCCAAAGCAGTCACAATGCACCATTGAGACCTGGCTGTCCTCGTGGGATTTCAGTGGCTGTACCGCCCCCAGGCCATGAGCGCTGTGAGAAGGGTTATCTGAATCCAATTCCTGGTGCTCTCAGGCCCCACTGCCACCGCCAGTAATTCTCTGATCCTGGTGGTGCCACAGCCAAGGTGGAGGCAGTGGGGACTTCGTTATCCACCTTGGTTCCCTGCTAATCAGGAAAACCCTAAGTCCTCCTGCAAGTCGGCATGCACGTCCCTGACTCACTGCAGGGTCATGTGACCCAGACAACAGCAGGGCAGCCATGGGTTGAGCCCCGATTTGTGATCTCTACTGGGCAGCTGCTTGACTACATCTGCTGTGGGACCAGGAAAGGCACCCAGGCTGCTGCCTCACCAAGGGAGGGCACTGCCTGGCAGGGTGAGCTGCCACCGCTCCCCTGGGGATCACAGCACTCAGGCAGGCAAAGCCCCACAAAGGCTTCCAGATGTTTCCTTGAGAAGTGAATCAGCAGCCCACAAATACCACCCCTAGACATGTCTGTGGGGAATGAGATGGATGTCCACCAGAAAACATGGCCCAGAAGGACCCTGGCAGCACAAATCAGTATAGAGTCACATGGTAGAATATTACTCAGCCACAAAAGGAACAGGCTGGTGACCTGGAGGGGTCTCACAAGAAGGCAGCTAGCCTCCTGTGATGATTCAAGGCCAGCCCAAACTGCACACAGTGAGACCCTGGCTCAAAAAACAAGGACGAAGGGCTGGGGATTTAGCTCAGCGGCATAAGCGCCTGCCTTGCAAGCAGGCGGTCGTAAGTTCGATCCTCGGTCCCGATAAAAAGGAAAAAGACAAAAAAAAAAACAAGGACGAATGCACAAACAAAAAGTTAATACTGGACAAAGCATAAGTCCCTTCTTGTGGTCCAAGACCCTGAAGGCCCTGCCAGCCCCACCGAGGCCAGTCTCGGGGGAGGGGCGACTCAGGGGAGCTGCCCACTGGCACGGGCTGATGGCAAGGGTCCCCATAACCTTGGCCCTTGGCTTCTCTCTCTGAAGGATAAGCCCTGCTTTCCCCCATCAGATGCACAGCAAAAGAAAACGTCTGCATTTGAGACAGGTATTCCTTTCCTGTCTGTCTTCCATCTGCACACAGACTTCTAGTCTTTTTCACGTTTGATGAAGGCCCCGGGGTGCCAGCACCAGGTCCTCATGAAGAGCTCTGAGAAGTCCTTTCCAACAGAACCTGAGGCCTGGGGCCCGCTGCAGGAACCCCAGGGAGACTGTGGGGTGTGCAGGCCCTTAAAGCAGCCAAGGGGCAGCTATGGAAGCCAGCGATGCAGAGGGCTTGGATGGCTGTGTGCACTCCTGTGCTCTACATTTGAGGTTTGCAGGGTGATCAGTGAAAGGGAACCTTTCTTCCCTCCTCCCACATGCTAATCTCCTGGGTTCCCAAGCAGTGATCACACTTTCCGACCACATCTAATCTCATCTGTAAGCCGAGCACTGGCGCCAGGGTCACAAGAGGACAAGGTCACCTCCGGACAAGGACACCGAATCTTGAGGGGCACACAGCATTCAGACCATTTGATGTTTTCACTGCCTGGGGCTCTGGTGGAGAGTTGGGAAGGGCAGCAGGGTGAGTTCCCCCTGGGATCCCTGATCTCAGAGGGGCCTGGGCAGGGAGAACCCAGGGGACAGGGGGATCTCGCACCCGCTGCTTGTGGGGTGTCAGATGTCTCTGACAGTGAGGCGCATTCACGGGCCCTTAAGCACCCTGTATTTTTTTTTTTTTTTTGTCTTTTTCCTTTTCATCGGTACCAGGGATCGAACTCACGACTGCCTACTTGCAAGGCAAGTGCTTATGCCGCTGAGCTAAATCCCCAGCCCCAGCATCCTGTATTGTAACAGCCGCTCCATCCCATGCTGGGCTATTCACCTCCACTAGAAATTCCATTTGACCCAGCTGTTCCCCCCAGGTACCTTTCAGAAAGAGCTAACGCTGTCATACTAGGTGACCCATGCATGCCCGTGTCCATAGCACTTTAATTCGCAACAGCTAAATCTTGGAAGTAGCCTGAATGCCCATCAGCAGATCAATGAACAAAGAAAAGGTGGTATACAGAAAACTACCCTGTCATAAAGAAGGGTGCGCTGGAGTCATTTTCGGGAAGACAGATGCCCCTGGAGACTGTAACATCCAGTGAATAAATGAGACACACAACTTAAACGACACATGGTTCCGCTTATATGAGAACCCAGAGTATAAATAAAGAGCAGAATAAAAGATGACAGTAGGAGGTAGGAAGATGGTTCTCAAGTGTTAGGGGGAGGGAGAGACAGGTGGGGATGGAGATGTGCTGTGCACGCGAACTGCTCCACACAGGAATGGAAGCCGCACACCTGCAGACGTAGATGGCAAAATGGACTGTTGCAGGAAGCAGGGTGGGCAGAGGGTGGTTGCCTGTGTGGGGTTGGAGCGGTGGGAAGAAGTGGATCGATCATACTGACCAAGCCCATACATGGAGAACTTCCAGAGTTCGTGAGGATGTCGTCATCAATGTGTAGCTGCTGAATTCACATACCTGCAGTCCCAGCTTGGAGGAGGCTGAGGCAGGAGGGTAGCTGTGAGATCAAAGGCAGGCAGGGCTACACAGTGAGACCCTGACTCACAAAAAAAAAAAAAAAAAAAAAGAAAGAAAAGTTTGTAGAGGGCAAATCCATAGTATCTCACTAAATTTGGGATAGTCTGCATCTTTGGACCTAGTCTCCCACTTCCGGGAATTGACTCTGAGGAAACCACTGGCCACAGGCCGGGTTGTGTTGGGGCTGCTATGCTAGAGAGGCTCAGTTAGCTCTCCCGACATCCTGGCATTGGCAGCCCTGCTCCCCATGCAGCCTCCCTGCAGAGCTGGGGCGCACCCCAGGCCTTCGAATCTGTGACCCCAACTCCAGGCCCTAGAGCTTACATCACAGCGCTGCCCCCGGGAGGCCAACTCTGTCCTCTCTGTCTCCTTTGCCTCCTCACTGTCTAGCTCAGCCCTGTGGGTCCACACACGCACGCAGGGGGCCCTCACCACACAGCGCTCTCTGTCCTTGGCCACTGGGAAGCACCCAAATTCTCCTTCTCCTCCTCTCTTCCCCAAGCGGAGCAGACCCTAGGGAGAGCCACCGAAAGCAGGGAGGTTTCTGCGGTCCAGGCTGCAGCCCCTCAGCCTGACTAAGCCCGATGTGATCACAAGGCCCTGTCCCCAAGCCTGCGAGCAAGGCTCCCTGAGTGAGCCGGTCTGCTCAGGGCTAGCACAGGCCCCATGCGGAATGTCAGCACTTGCATCCGGGATGCTCAGGGCTCAGCCCGGCACCTAGCCCTGGTGAGCAGGGCCCCAGCCGCCTCCTCCCAGTGGTCACCTCTGTCTAGCACATGGCTTGGCCAATCCGATTCTCAGTGGCCTCAGGAAGCAGCTGCCGGGCATATCTTCCCCACTGGCCTGTGGCCCTGCATTCCCCTAGCTCAGGTCCCCCTGCCTTCTCCACCTTGTGAGGTGAGAAGTACGTGTACCCCTCGATGTCCCCATTGTGCCACCCACAGCAGGGCTTCTTCCTAACAGGTCCGTTGTACCACATTTTTCATCCTGAACATAAAGTCCACAGCACCATCCTGTCTCAGCCTTCCCAGTCAATCCCTAGCCCCTGGGGAACAACTCAACCTGTCCTGGGCCGCAGTCCCCTCCTGCCTTTCCTGTCATTGCCCACTGTGTAGAACTGGTCTCATCCACCACACAGGGAGACTCGGGCCAGATGGTGCAGGTGGGAACTGAGGACCACTACCCCTCTCCTGGATATGATCTCCAGAGAGCAGCCAGGCCTGGGGCTCAGGGATACCACCTACTGTCTGCCTACCACAGGGCCCAGCCCAGCCCCCCAGAGCCTGAGGCCAGAGGATGGCAAGCTGAGGTACCAGTCCAGGCAACACAGAGGGATTCTGTCCCGGTGCCACTGCCTCTGTTGTGTGTGACCCCCAGGGACGAGTCTCTGGCTGCAGAGGAGCTGGGCAGTCACAGCTGGAGCTTGCTCGGATTGCAGGGAGCCTGGTGGAGGGACCTGGATACACAGTGAGTCTGAGCCTGGCCGAATTCCTGCCCTCACAGAGCCTGGAGTCAAACCAACCCTGGCACTGGACGCAGCCACTGCTCCTTGATCCCCAGACGAGATCCCCAGACTTGGCCAGCTGGTGGGAATCAGCTCTGGCTGGACCCGGCCCTTCTGAGACACTGCAACAGGTCAGGTTCCAGTCACTGACCCTGGGGCAGGAAGCAATTCTGACCCCTCTTGGGAGTCAAGAGGCTGAGTATTCTTCCTTTGGCTCGGCGGGATCCCAGGAGGCCTTGGAAAGCAGCCAGTCCTGAGTTCACCCCGGATACTCCACTCTGGGGCGAGCAGGACTTAGCTGAGAGGACTTCTGAGGTGACTCCCCTGCCAGCATCCCATGATGACCAGGTGGTTGCTCCTTTAGCCAGGAGCCCGGGACTGGATTGTCTCAGCTTCAGAACCCATTCAAGGAGTTCATGGGGCTGCCCAACCGCTGGAATCCACTTAGCCTGGGGCTGATGACTGGCCCGGCCTTGAAGGGCTAAGGGACTGTCCCATTGCCATGCCCCTTGGACCCTGAAACTAGCCATGCAGGAAGGCCATGAGATGAGTATGGCTCACACTCAGGAGTCCTGCCCAGCCCCCCTCGATCTCATTGTGTCCCTACACACAGAGCGCCTCAGGATGTTGCTACTTTTTCGTCCCAAAGCCCACTCCTTCCTCTTTAGGGGCCAGTGGTATCCACAGCATGGTCGTCGTAGCCCTGTGTTACACGGTTCCCAGTAAACTTCCAGAATGGCCAGCATGAGTCACAATGGCTCCTTTTTCGTTGTTTTATTTTGCTTTTTTTTAAATCGGTACCAGGGATCGAACTCACGACTGCCTGCTTGCAAGGCAGGAGCTTATGCCGCTAAGCTAAATTCCCCAGCCCCTTATTTTGCTTTTTTGAGACAGGTAGTTCAGGCTGCACTTGAACTCACTATGTAGCCCAGGCTGACCTCGAATTCACAGCAATCCTCCTGCCTCAGCCTCCCAAATGACGGCTTCTTTCATTCATTCATTCTCAAGGATCTGAGACCCAAGCATGGTGTTTGGTGTTGGAAGAACAGATTGGTGTCCTAAACATGCTTGAATCTACATCCCTAAGGTTGTCTTTGTTGCCAAAGTTTAGCAGAAGAGCTTCAGGATGAAGTCCAAGTCTCCTGAGCCCCCAGAGCCCAGGGAGCGGGAAGAGCTGCCCTCAAATGGCCGATGACTATAGCCAGCCCTCCTGGGCTCCAGCTCTTGAGGCAGACCCTGTCCAGCTGGTCAAGACCCTGCCATGGGCCGGAAGAGATGAACCAGCTACAGCGGGGCCACACTGGCCCTGCCTCTCCGAGCCCTGGGGCAGACAGGCTCCTCTCAGCTGTCAAGCTGCTTCGGAACTAGACAGAGGAGACGGCTGTACTAGAATGGGAATGTGCTAAATACCATGGATGAGCGCTTTAAAATTCATTCTACAATACATGAATTTTTATCTGAGTTTAAAGAAGAAATAAGTAAAATAACCGGCTTCCTCTCCAAGGGGCCGGGTGCTCTGGCTCCTCCCATTCCTCTCTGCCAAGTGTTGAGGCTGCTGCCAACACAGCCTGGGGTGAGCTTTCTAGGAGTTCACCATCCTCTTGGTTATGCCCAGGAATCTATCGCTAGAGGCTTCTCACATTCATCAGAGATCTCAAGCCTTGTTCCTGGGTTCCTGAGTCCCCAGTGGGTCCAGTTATATCACTAGCCTCACTTCACCTTGTGAAACAGGAAGAAAAACCAAGACTCCCCCGGAGAAGCTGATTTTGAAATATGACGTCTGTGTTTGCCCATGTGACTAAATTCCATGGATTCTATTCCGGGCAAGTCAGAAAGCAGATTCCATTGTTTGAACAGAGGAAAAGAACTGGGGCCCACATGCCTGGGGGACTGGGGCTGCAGGCTCAGGAGGGGCCCTGGGCTGGCCTTGCGTGTAGGAGCTGCTCCTACACTTGCTGCAGCAGCCAGCATCGTCCCCAGGATTCCTTCGGAGTCTTTGGAGAATAAATGAGGCCAGTGCAGGGCTGAGGGCAGAGGTAGCAGGTGTGGGTCACCAGCAGGTGATGGATGCAGGTGTTCATGGGATCCACTTTCACCGAGCCCTGGACGTAGCCTGTGCATCCCTCCCAGCCTGGTCTGGGCTTCCTACTCCCTGGAATTCTGCCAGGCAGGAGGCTGGATCTTTCCCAACTGTAGTTTCCTCCCAATAGGACGTTTCTGTCCACTTATCTTTTCTTTTTGCAGTACCAGGGATGGAACTTATGACCTTGTGTTTACCAGGCAGGCACTTATGCCACTGAGCTAAATCCTGGGCCCTCTGTCCACTTTTCATCTCCAAGAAATTCACATAAAGTTTTGGGCCCTGGTGCTCACCTGTTTCCTCAGTGTTATCAGTGTAGGTCTCTGCTTCTTCCTCCAACTTTCATGGAGAGCTCTAACCTCACAGAGGGAAATATCCTCTCCCCATTGTCTTTTTCAGACAGGGTCTTGCTATATAGTTCATGTTGGCCCTGGGCTCACTTTGTAGCCCAGGTTGGTTTTGAACTTGCTATGATCCTTCTACTTCGGCCTCCCAACTGTTGGGATGACAAGCATATGCCATCACACTTGGCTCCTCTCTTCTCTTGAAGGCTGGGCCCCACACTCACGCTCACCTGTTCAAGAGAAGTGCTGCTTGTTGCTGTGAACAGTTTCCATATCACCTCAACGTAGACTGAGGGCAGGAGGTTATCTGTGTCATCCCCCTTTATATTGTGGGACAAATACCCAGCAGGCTTCTGCCCACAGTGGGTGCAGTCCATGGCTGTGGACATGAGGCAGGGTGTCACGGAGAAAAGGAGAGCAGGGAAGCAGAGAGGGCAAGAGAGCCAGAGGAAGGGGCAGATAGGGACCCAGGCTCACATCTCAGGCCCCCTCTGCTATTTTGTTACCTTAGAATAATCCACAGATGAAATCATGGCCCAGAGATCCACCGTGCCTCAGAGCCACGGGCTCCACAGAGCGCCAAGCTGGTTTTCGAGGCATTCTCTATCGATCAAGTTGTTGGTTACAATGAAGATCACTGCCTCTGACATGTGTCTTGACGTCACTTTGGGTCAGATGTAGTGCATGCCCAGCTCAGTTGCTCCTCTCAGGTTTAGTTGAGGAGAAACTGAAGTCCCTGTCAGAATGTGGAGGTCGGGAGACAGGTTATTCACTTTGTCAAGAACATTTCGGGGCTGGGGATTTAGCTCAGCGGCATAAGCGCCTGCCTTGCAAGCAGGCAGTCGTGAGTTTGATCCCTGGTACCGATAAAAACGAAAAAGCCAAAAAAAAAAGAACATTTCATCACGCTCGATTGAGGGCCTCCTGTGCGCC